CATAAATCAGAATTAACGTACGAAATTCAAACTACCGGCTTATACGATACACAGGTAGATTTTCACAATTATGCTCTAATGGCGTAAAGAAATGCATCACGCTTAAAGTGCCACTGCAAAACATACGGCATGGAGTGTTCATCGATCAAAGGAGGAAGGCAGCATTGTTTGTGTATAACGTTAATGAAGAAGGAAGGGCGAAGATGTGATCAACTCTTTAAGGACTCAGATCATCGTAAGATAACGGTGAATTTACGCTACGATGCATGATCGATTCTTTCATAATGCAACATCAACGATACAAACAGGCACACGCACACCTTGTGAGACTATATTACTGCAGAGATGTCCCGCTGAGATGAGAAGGATCACAATCAAAATTTCATCGATAAATGGGTAGATGTATTATTAACTCATCGCATCGCAATTCCCTCACGCACCGCCACCCGCAAATCCCATTATTCACCTTCCAAATAATCTCACCTTAAGCCGTAAAATCCTCACTCTAATCCACTTAAAAAGATCTCCTTCGGGAAAACGATAAGTGAAATGAACTTAAAGTATGACACGAGCTGTTTAACAAAATTCGAAAAGAATACAAATGATAGCCGCGCCGCATTCGTTTCGAATGGAATCAATGACCCGTTTTGAGTCAATAGTCCGTAACGCTAAAAATGGTCGTTATTCTATAAAAAATTATTTTGATGGTTTAAAAGGCCGTAAAATATAGAGAAATTCGAATGAGGGGAATCCATTTGAACAACAAAACTGAATCATATGAAACGATTTGCGTTCTGCTGAAGTAACCGTAATACACAATAATGAATTGATTACAACAAATGATATATGACTGACCAGCAAGCACTCTCGTACGCTATCCTTACTTCATTCAGATGAAAATAAAAACCTTTAACCTCAACTGAGTAAAAACCATCGTAAAGTTGCAACCAATCAGATGAATAAATGTCATTTATATGCAAAATAGACCTTTCTTCCATGTGAGTTATCTTTACACGTAATCCAAACAAGTGATAAAACGAAAAATTATCTGAACATAGCTCTGTGCTGAAGGCACAATGAGTTGGGATAAAAGTTCTGACAAAGGCTTCTCAACGAGAAAAGAGACAATGGGAGAAGGATGTGAATCTTGAGAAAAGACATTTTAAAATGGCACAGTAAATATGTGTGCACAAATAATAGTGGTAATAATAATGATCATAAGAATCATGTCATATAGCGCATTTTTGTTTGACATATCCGAGCTATTTTATGCGATGTGCATCTGTCATCAAAATCCTTCTAACAAACCTCTGACAATAACCAAACACTTCAGTTCATTCATTCCAAACTAATCATCAGGTTTTGTTGTACACTTAAAACGAGGACGTTTACAAGCATCAACAATTTCCTCACTCAACTGTCCCAACTATGAATTCTCTTCAAGCTTTTGAATCTATTACGTAGGTAGGTGTTGGTATAATTGAATTAAATCTAGTGTGTAATCAACATCAAAACTAGTTGATTACTGGTTACAAGCCAGGCAGTATCCAAAAGCTGTGTTAAGGAGATAGATGAAATAAGATGAAAATTGATAAGATAAGATGAAATATTCAGAGAACGGATACATTATATACCTACTAAAAGTGATTATGTATATTGGCGCCTTGGTTCTGCACCTAGAGTTAGGCAACAGAGCAATGGAAATTGATCACGATGAGAAAAGTTGTCTATTGTAACAATCATTGAACTCATTTTTATAGCATCTATTTCAATACGACTACTTTGTTGAGGTCAATTTTTACAATTTTATCGCTCGATTGAAGAAACATCCAATTGGATGTGTGGTTTACGTCTTTCCTTGCTTCTCAATTTATCACTTTCCATCCCAAAAACTAATTCTAATTGAAACTGATCAATTAAAACTGATTAATTGGAAAGAACATCATTTAAATGAATGTCGTCGAATAAGGAATTGAACGCAACAGCAGTAACTGATTATAATGATGATAGAACATATCTATAGCTATCATCTATTCGATTCATTGTTGAACAATTCAAAAGACCTGGTGTTTTTTAAACAATCTGTATATAGTTCCAAGACTGCGCCTAACCTGAGCTTTCCCTTAAGTTGAATAGTAAGACCTTTCCTTCCCTTACAATACAATTGCAGAACGCAGAGTCTTTTGAATTGTTGTGTCAGCGAGATCTATTCTTTTCAACTTATTTCTGTCACTGATAAATGTACATTCTACATGCTAGAATAGCATTCTGAAGTGGAATCGCAAGAAAATCGGAAAATGTGAATATGAAATGAATATGAATATTCCTAGCGAATATCTGTCCGCTCGCTATATCCGCTTTCCTCACTTACATATACCTATATATACTTCATACTCATCCATCGCTCAACTCGATGAATAATACAACTTAACACTTCCGAACGATCGTTCGTTACTTAACAATTCTTCTCAGCACTTTCATTTTCATTTTTTCATTTTCAAAAACGCAAATACTTTTGTTCGAATTTTTCTTTCTCAGTATTTTCTTACTCCTCAACAATACCATCAGATGTTTTCTCAGTCCACCCACCACCACACTTCAACACTCTTCTACCATCAACAATCGCAAATTTTTAAGCAGCAGATTTATCGTTTATTCTTCCGTCATTCAAAAGGAATACACACTCAAATACGTAAATAACATCACGAAAATTTTCAGTTTTCAGCATTACAAAGTGTTATTTATTGCGTTTCCTTGGATTGTGTATAAAAATCACGAAAAACTCACTGTTATCCTTATCATAATGATTCGCTTTGCTGTTGATACATTCCATCCAGTTCTCCAAAGTCAACCCAATAATATAACTCAAATATCCATCCTCTCGATACTCTTCTCATTCACCATGCTTTGCGCCTACGATTTCAAGTAAACAGCAAAAAAGGGAAATTCTTGAGCAACGCGCAAGCTAAATGCAAATATTCCAGAGCAAAAAATGTGCAGAACTCATTGTCAGTGTAATCGAACTAGAAAGTAGCATTTTAGTAAGCAAAACCATCGACTAGATAAAACAATCAACGAACACGATGATTCTAAAATAAATTAAGAGTATAAGGAGGGTCATAGGTCGATCAACAGTGATCACGAATGACGCAGACACGTGTATCGAACGACATAATCGAGACATACACGCCTATGAAAGGATTCGTGTGCATGTGCACAACAATGCCTGCATACAATAATAATTCAGCAAAACTGAATCAGATAGTAGCAGAACATAGAATAAATAGGAAAGGTAATTACGACAATAATACAATCAAAAACATAGGGGCAAATAAAAAATGCTTGTATGGTTCATTAATTTTTAATGCTCACCTCTTTCACCTTGAACTTTATCGTTTCGTTGCTCTTTTCCAGGTAATATCAAACGCAACTGGCTGATGATTTACGAAAATGACAAGACAATCAATGACTTAGAATGTGACAATTTCCTCCTAAATTCCAGACCACTTGAGGTAAAGAAGTGGACCGTAGCAAACAATTTGTTGTGAAAATTGATAAGAAGTATGCCTCAATTTGTTGATTCTTAGTGAATTACATGCAAAGACATTGATGATAGTTTCCTACTGGAAAAACACTGACGATTCTAGTTGTTTTTGCATGCTAATGTAATGAGTTGGTGGTGTTGTACGCCTTATATAGTAAGATATAAAACGTTATGCCCATGGGTTTTGTTCATGAACGACATTTATGATGCTCTCAATGAATGACGGACCGATAACGGATGAAGCGTTAAAAACGCACAGAACCGTCACTGAGGGTGTATGAATGATAATCTCAACTGATTTATGATTCGATTTGAAGAATTTACAGAAGTGTCTTATAACCCAAAACAACAAATTCAAAACATTTCAACACCTCAACATGCCATCCTTTATGTCTATAGCAGTTCCATGGTCATGCGTTATACTTCTTTCGTATTGAATCATCTCGGCCCCATTTGGTTGAAATTTGAAGCGGTTTCATAAAAACATTTACTCAGCGATTATCACAAAGATATGTTTATTGTAAAAATTACAATGCAAAAGAAATGCCCGAGGTGAGGTTCGAACTCACGACCTTCAGATTATGAGACTGACGCGCTAACCAACTGCGCTACTCAGGCATGTCTACCTGCCCTTCTCACTGCGATATGGCAACAAAATAAACATTCATATGCCATAAAATATTTTTAGTTCATTGACGATAGCGTGCAAATCAGATGGATATGTGATATCCATCAGCAAATTTTCAGTTAAAAATCAATCGTACTTGATAATACAATCAGTAATTAAATGACAACTTTATAATGACTGCTAAGAAAGAGAACTGTGTCGCATTACAAAGCACTTATAATTAACGAGCAGATGTGCGATCTGCTGTTGAGCGTAATTTCTAATTAGCACCGAAAGAAAATGATGAATGTGATTAAAAACGAATAATTGCAAAGAAGACAGAAATAGTCGAAAAGCTGACGTACATTTATTTAAATGAGCAATTGAATGTTGCAAACTGACAAAAGATGAGATGAATGTATGTGATGTCTGTAGGGGAAGAAGCGATCTATTAATTAATATGACATCAATGTCAGAACAACAAATGGTTTGTTAGTGGTGGATGGGACAATGTTTTGTAGAGAAGAATGACCCTAAAGATGATCACTATAAAAAGAGATATGGATGAGAGAATGTTTGAGGGGGAACGGATATGTCCATTGTCGAATATTTTGTTTGTTTGTGCTCATGTTGCAAATGAGATCAAACGAGTGAAAAACGAAGCCAAATGGAGATGGATGGAATAACGTCACCATTCACGTCACAAATCAATCACATTTAACAAATTGCTTTCATTCGGTTTGACGAATGTTCATCAAATGCCAATGAGATTTGAATGTGTTCAAGAAAGGTTGTCACTATTCAAGATTTAACTCATAAACGAACAAATAATAAACTGAGTTAATTCTATCATTGATAAGGAAGTTTGTAGAATTTCACGTTGTCAATCCAATGCGACTCAGAAATAAACGTATCACTGCAATTTATTTGTTGCGCATCGGATCATCACTGTTTATTGCGATCTAAATGCCATTATACCCTTGACATCGTAAAATGCTTATAAAATCAGTCGGAGGTATGTTAAAATGCAAGACATTCCGATACAACAAATATCCGCAGCAAGTGGAAAATTTATGTGCTAAAAAGTTGAAACGGTCGGCTTATAGAGCAATATAATAAGAATTTGAACATTGCATGATGAAACAATGAGGAAATCACGATGAAGAACGCATGGATAGTGAGTGTTAGAGCAATTCAAATTAAACTGTAAACTGAGGAATAAATAAAGAAACGAATGAAGAAATAAAAATTCACGAAACTAGTTCATTGTCTTCATGAGAAGTATATGCGAAATGTGAATTGAAACGCACCTGGTTCGAATAATATCGCAGATTTGTTCGTAGCTTAAATCGCTGATCGCTTCATCGTTAATGCACAAAATACGATCACCACACCGTAAACCAGCATTATAAGCACAGCTTAACGGCTCGACTCGTGATATGACTGCACTATTGACGGGTATCTCGTTATCATATGCTTCATTCGTATCATAATCACCCATCATGCAACTATCGTAACCATCCTGAACCTTTCGTTATTATCAATTACTTGCAAACCTTTTATTATGACAACATATAATAGTTGACTGTTTAGAATTCATTATAAACTCCAATTTTAAACGATTTTATCTCTGATAGATATGAATAGAGAAACTTTGAAAGTATTCCTATCATTGATAAGGAAGTTTTATCCATTTTAATAAAGAAGTTTTATCCATCCATGATTTTCTTATCCATTTTCTAAACTCCCTACATATTTGTTAGCTGCTGCCTCCACGCTGCGAGAAAGGCATAGATTACAAATGAAGCTGTGCCCGTTAAGAGGCACATATTACTGCTAAAATTACAAAAGAAAATCCATTAAAAAACATTCATCTCAAGACTCTCGACAGAAATTTTAAAAGACTCGTTACCTCGAACGGATAAACAGTGGTATGTCGAATCGTAAAGCCATAATTGTAGCTTGTTGATTGTCTTTCGAGCAGTACGTTAATCAGTAAAGACATTTTATGAAAGAATTTACATAAAGTTACGAGTTGCTGTGTGTTAGCACTAATGGGTGAGTCTGAAACAAATTTATCATTTATATCACTTTCAATCACATAAAATAGAAATGACGACGACGTTTTCGATAAAATGACACCATATTTGCACAAAGCTAGCCTGATTCGTTTAGGCACATTGAAATGAACAAATGAGAAATGTCAAAACAACCAAAAAGTAAACTTATTCTCATCAGTTCATATCAAAAACCGTGCTGCCTAATTTGCGACTTTCTCACTACCTCGCCCTTAAACTGAAGCCAGAATTTGGTTACTCACTCTGGGGTGGGAAGGGAGGAAGGGTAACAACATTCGTTTGAGCAATTCACTTCGCATAAGCCATTAAAATCAAAGATGACGAAACGTTTTTGGTCAGAATATAAACATCATTCACATAAGCCTATTGTTGTACGAAGACAGATAATGTCAATGCATACCAGTAAATATGTGAATATTGTTAATGTGTGACAATTAAATAAACAAAGATAAACGAAGCAAATCAACTTTCAAGCAAAAATCATAATATGAATGTAATATCTAATCGAATAATAATGGTAATAATACCATCATACAATTGCATAGCAAAAGCTCTTTATTACAAAGTAACGACGTGTTCAGTCATCATCGACACGAGTTTATATTGTACAACAATCATAGCAACATCAACGATTGTACAGTACAGCGACTGTGTGATCGGATTTTTGCAATATGTTTTCGGATGGTAGTTTCATAAAGCAACGGAATGCATAAATATCACCATATCAATAAAAATATCAAAAACCGTCGTGTTCAATCAGACACTTTGGTGAGCGACAATCAAAAACATATCGAATTCTCAACGCTAAATCTCATGAAACTTTTGATGAAATCTCACATGGCGCCTACCATCGTTGATACTGTACGCTATGTAGAGTACGCATAATAGTATTTATTTATTTATTTATAACAACTTTAGTACATGCAAATGCAAATATATATGTTTGTATCCATGCACATTCAACATCAAAAGTGCAGCATTAAACACCGCGATTACACAACTAAATGAATTTTATGAACATCAAATAAATAATTGATAGATTACGAATGAAACATAAGCAATAGACGTATGAGATCAAAACGAGTGCTATGAATATGTAGTTTTGTGAAATCAACTATTTTTTGTACGAAATATTGAATATGAGTCAAGAGACAACAACAACGGAAACATTTCATGCAGAGAAAGTTGCTAAAAGATAGATTTTTGAAGAAAATGAGTTTATAAAACAGTTTACATATGTATTGGGATTGAAGAGGATACCTTGACGGAGATATGATCTATGCATGAATTCTAAATGAGACGAGTGTGTGGGTGCGTGTGTGAAATATAAAAGGATGTGAATATTACTATTATTGTTACGTATCGTTTGTTGTATAAATGAATGGAAATTAAAAGTTTTGCGATAAATTGACCATCAATGAATGATTACTAATTGGTTCATAAAAGTCATCATAAAATCAAATAATTTAACTCGCATCTCTCCCGTCGTCAACTTATTCGATAGAACACAAAACTTGATACTATTTCCGACTAATTATCATATCTGCTGCGATCGTTTCTTCAATTATCAGCAATACGACAGAAGGAGAATTGAATTCATTTGACTTGGCACAACGGAGTGCGTAAAGAGTGATATCGGAACTGAGAAGAATTCGGAATTTTGCGGAAGTTTTTCGAGTAGCGCATAGCGAAATGCAAATCAAATAAATTTATCGATTCACTAAACGATCAAAGGAGTATTAACGACACGTTTATGGCATTACGGCGATAATTTTTCCCAATCACTGAGATAAGTTTACTTAGCCTCTTTTGATGATCATCCCTCTTCAGCAACAACTTTCGGGCATTATATTTCGCGGAGTTAATATTATTACCACTGTTAATATCACTGTTATCATTGTTATTACTATTGTATGAACACAATATTTTGCTTGACAGATTTAACGTTAAAAGCGATAAACAAACAAATATAACACAAACCAGATAATCAGAAATGAAACCAGAAAATCGGAGAATTTAGAAATTGAAACGATCTAAATCAGATAAGATCTAAGAGAGGATATATGGTAGGAACAGTTCGATTTGAATGCAGCAAGTGACTAACCGCAGCAATTTATCATTTATGAAATTCACTGAAAACACGTTTCTTCGAAGGACTGCTTAATTAACACATCCAAATAGATCACTTTTATTGGTCATAAAACGATGCTCGTAAAACTGTACAATGAATGGCTAAGGAACTAAAACGAACTTAAATCAGCAGAATAAAAACGGGTGAAAAAGAAAAACTGGAAATTGGACTTTGGACATCGAACTTCGGATAACTTCACTGTTTGATACGTTGATATCCGAACAATTGCCAGACTCGGTCATTCAACACTTTCACTAATATCGACTTTCCAGAAGTCACTTCACTGTTTCGCAATAACAGCCAGAAATCTGCTTAACGGTAAAATATCCACACATATGGTTGACGAGGCAATAAAAGATGTGCAAGTGAAGAATGGATACGAAAGAGGAGGGATTGGATGAGATCGTTGGTTGAGATGATGCAGTTTGCATTCGATAAAACGATGAGAAAAATGGTTTCTGTAGCAAAAACACGATCAGATATATCTATCGTTCGTACATATTTGCACGGTTGGACATGCACTCATTCACCCGTACAATTTGTTCAATTCATGGAAACCTTCTTGCTGAATTGTATACGATCCAGTCTCGATTACACGTCACTGAACTCATGAATAAAATATTAAACTGAAATGAACTGGAATTCCGATGTGAAACGTCAAGTTATGCGTTTGATATTACTAAATTCCTGAGATGAAATGACATCGTAATCTCAGACATTGTGCCGTTTTCCCATCCATAAATAAATTCTGCTATACACATTGATCAATTGTATTTATTTATTTAATCGGCAATTACAGTGGCTCATTACGAGTTTATACTCTCTGTTAACACCAATATCACAAATATCAAATTCTCCCTTCCTTGACATCCTGATATCCTTCTTTTCACGCAGCTATATCAATCGTATATGAACAAATAAGATATTTACTCGAACAAAAACATTTTGTTTTGAAAATATTTAAACGCTGCTGAAGGGTATTCAAGGATTTGGAACAAATAAAATACGCTAATTAGAAGCGTGAAATCGAAAGTTAAATGGCTCAAAACAACAACACATCAGAACAAATTAACCTTTCCAAATAATGACAACCTTTCTGGTTCCACTCACGCATTTCTCAAATAAAAATCGTTCTATCGCGATATGATGAAACGATAAGGAGCTGATTTATAACTAATAATAATTCATCGATCATGATTCAGTAATTGATAAATCAGTTGTTTTTTATCGGCTGATCAAGTGCGGATGCTTCGCAATGAGTAAACTTTCAGAGAGGGAGTAGAGGAAATGAAAATCGAAAGACAAATTTCACGCTTGCAAACATTCTAATAGACGATATCTCACATAAGCAGTACTTTTATATTTTATAATGCAGTATGTGCATACGATCACAGCATTCGAAGTTACGTTGATCCATCAAAAATTTTTATTCCCAGCACAGTACGAAAATGATTCTGCTCTCGAAACAACTCAACTTTACAGGATTCGAAGTAAAGATGTTTATTTGTTTCAGTGAATGTTTAAAGTAATTCGATTACAGTCACATATATTATTTATTACCGTAAACAACTTTCACCTGTGATTATGAAATAGTGGTGGCATTCAACTGTCAGTCATTCGGAAAAATCCGACAAATTCTGACATTCGGATTCCGACCGAACAATTCTGACAGTCGATCGGAATTCCGGATATCGGATGGATGAAACGTGAACTCGGTCAGATTCCGACCGAAAAATTCCAGCCGTCGGAACTTTGGAGAGTCAAGTCGATTAGATTCCAATTGACATGAAAATTCGCTCGGATGCCATCACTACAATGGAACAGAAAAAATGACTATAGGCGATGCGTAACAAACGGTCAATAAGGTTGTACGAATAACGAAGTGTTAAATAAATAAATACCACTCCATGCATGGTTCTAATCAGTTATGCCTTTTGGATATTTGTTACATGCGCTAAACAAGACAAGACAAGTGGGAATAGAAACAGCAGACTGTATTAAGAAGGAAGGATTACGCGGATTAACGGGGCTATTGGCAATCGAACAAACAGATTGACCGGTACAACGTATGAAGTAGGAGGCAGTACATTCGGTAGATATTCAACGAATAATAACGAGTTAAGGCGTTTGAAAGGTGTGCAGATGGGTTTGCCTCGAATCAGTTCAACTGAACTGAAGAGCCACATTGAGTCAGTCACATAAACATCATTGCTTATAATAGCACATTCGATTTGATGAGTGCACCTTATTGCCTTCATCAGCTATTTGTTCACTCAATGGTTCAGTGCATATCGAAAAGAACCAATCAATTTGCAACCGTAAAAATTTCACTTTCAACGAACATTCAACAATGCCCGTCCGTTAGTACTTGGACTCAGCACAAGCAACCACTCAACAAATGCGCAATCTACAATAATATCTTTTAATGGAGCATTTTTCAAACTGTAAATCACGTCGTCGCACACATCATTCATATGTTTGCTCTACTGATCCCTCGTTCACGATGTAAGTTGCCATATGAAGTTGACTATTTGATGTTAAATCTAAAATCACGGAAACTTATTAATTCAGTTTATGCCGCTACATCTCGAAAAAATTAACTAGGCACGTCAAACTATCCATGGCACTGGAGAGGAAGCGATCACGGCACAGAAATGAATTGGAAAGGGAAGGGAATAAACGAAAATAAGTGGAAATCGCCAGCTGACAACTGAAAATTTAGTTGTTTCGGAGTTCCACGCTCAGTTCGTCTAGCACAACGGTCGTTAGGCGAGTAACTTAACTGCAAATGGCCCCATTTAATTTGATGGATTTCATCGTAATTTGCCGACAACACTTGGAACCCGTTACATTTTCGAATGGAACCCGTCACGCCGTTCACAGTTTATCAGTAGGGATAAACTGTTTGCCCATGTTCCATCCAATCACGGCACTATTTTATTTCGGGGGGTCGCACGCGAGCAAGCTCGCGCATGCCACGCCTACCGCGCATGGCTTCAGCCCAAGCGTAGTCTCAGCCTAAGCCTAAGCCTGAGTTCGCTTGCTAGCCTCTGTTGTAGCATCGAGCGATCTGAGGCTACGCCTAGATGAGGCTGAGGTCACCTTAAGCTGAGGCCATGCGCAGTAGGCGTGGCATGCGCGAGTTTGCTTGCGTGCAACCCCCCCCCCCAAAGTAAAAAAGTGCCCCAATCACTATATAGACAGTAAATTTTAGCGCTGTTTATATACAATGCCTCGACTTCTCCAGAAAACAATTGCACACTGTTCATTTCAGTAATGAGTAGTTGCAAGTTTCATTTCAATAATTTACATAAACAATAACCAGTATTTCGAGACATACTTCTCGAAAATCATGAACCTACACTGCGTGATATGAATACGAGAGCAGATGTAGAGTTCGGGATAGAGATGCTGCAGTCGAATTGTCTTAATCAGATATCATTATTTCATAAATCCATTCTCTTCATGAATACTAAATATCGCACGTTTACTCGACGTAACTGTAACATTCATTCCCAAATTCTATAATTTATAACCAATCTGTTTAAATGCATTCCGATCGATATGCATCACATAACGACGAAAAAACCTCCAGTAAGTATCATCTGTACAGAACAGATTCCACGACCGTTTCCCATCAAAAAGAAACGTATTTTAGCACGACAATATTCGGTTCTCTCAAGTGATTAATAAGACATATGACAATAAACTTTTTGATGCGCAATCGATAAATCGTCCGTTCTATCCGAAAAACTTCAGATTGATCGAGGAGTTAGATACGATAGAAGCATACAATGAAATCAATCCAAGACAAACAGCCCAATCATGCATTTCACTACGATACGTTAAACAATCGTTTTTAAATTATCACAGAAGATTCTAAAAGTTTTCAAAGTTCAACGATATAGTTTCTAAAAGTATTCAAAGTTTTAGATTAGAGCGAAAATGAGAAATTCAACTAACAGCAACATAGAAACCAAAGCCTCGCCACTGTTCCATGACAATTACATCATCAACAAGTTGAGGTAATAATCACGACCAGAACAAATTCGCTATATGCATCCCAGAAATGAAGTTGGTGCTTCTTATTTTTACCTACCTAATGCTCATTCTCAGATGCATTATTTGCTGTGACTTTACAGATGTGTGCACTCATCTAACCATTTCCATAAGAATCATTTATCAGAAAATCATAGGGAAACAATAAAATTATTTGACAAGAATGGAGTCATTTCAATTCTTGAGAACATTCCCTTTTCTCATTAAACATCAATTAATAGTTGCATACGAATATGATAAATCAGTAAATTAAAAGAAATAAACAAAGCGAGTAATCAATCAACTCTCCACATCATCACATTTCACTGCTGCAATCGAATAAGTGATATACATTCGTTTGTTTCACAATGAATTGAAATTGTTGCATACGATACTTTCATGAACATATTACCATATTTATAGTTTTAAGCGACTAGTCACAATCGAAAAGCAATAAAAATTGTAGGTATTTGAATGCAGAGGAGTTACGGCCAAACTACGCCTAATTTTCAACCAATACTTCGCAAATTCGAATTCAATATATCGAAGATTTATCCATGCTAAGTGATCTCCAAATAATCCGAATTTTTACCTTTTTGAAGTTTTACTTAAGCCATTAACCAAATTAATAGAATCTTCCGACCTCGGTTCATTTCATGAAGTGGTAATCATCAGTAAGCACCATCCCGGTTGATGATGATAAATCTAAAGATTTATTTAAGAATCAAGTGGATAAATCCATTTTCGACGAATCGGCAGATTTCACAATGTACAGAATTCAATATCGACAGCTTCGCATGAGATATTCTGAGGTGTTCTTTGTGCTGATTTCCGAAACAAAACCAGATGTATATCTACGGCCAAGGCAATACTCCAATTGAATGTTTGAAGCTTACTACAAGCATCGATCGGAGTATAATAACGATCGAATGTTCATTCATCAAGCGCACTAATCAGGCGTGCACGTGCTTTCTTTGACACGTGTGTAGCAACGTTTAGCAGTGTTATCATTTGATTCGCTGTATATTCCTACAAAACATTATCATTTTCGACTATCATCAGTAATGTAATCGAATCGAATGTAATTAGACACTACGAAAAATAACTTTCGAAACGAAGTTGAATGGGAATTAACAAAATCGTCAAATGCATAATTAATTGAGAATTTGACTTTTGTATTGTTTCCTTGACATAATTAATTGAGCATTGTTTCCTCAAGTTTAATTCCAGGTAAGAATAAAAACGAAAGAAATGAAGACTTCCAAAATTATTTTAAAATGAAATTCCCGAGAATGATACTATTATTTTGCAAAAACCAACACAATTTAGTTCCCAAAACAACAATAAAAAACGAAATGAATTTGATAGCCAACACTATGTTGTTGTATCCATTGCTCCAATGAGCCTTCTGGAAGATAATAAGCTTTGATGTAGTTCTCAACGAATGATTTGTGTGGGATGGGACGCAACTCGATTATTTGTTCAAGTTTACTGATCAATTGCAGCAGATCGAGTTGCATTAACGCTCGACCCTCATTCGTGCACCTCTTTCCAGATTCCGAATACCTTAAAGAACACAGAAAACTGTTAAATGTTGGGCTCTTTACGGAAACAAAGACTGCAGTAAATGAACAAGAAGTATCGGATTCACATTTCTTTAGAACCAAAAAAAACGACAACATAAGAATAGCCAACATACCCTTGGACAAGAGCCTTGAAAGAGCAATGTATGACTGAATCCCAAATAATCGACAGTACAACCTTTGGAACTGAGATGGATTCTTCGATTCGTTTCAAACGTTTTGCAAAATTCTGCATATCCTTTAAAAATCCAAATATCTTATTGTTAATAACTGATTAACAACTTTGAAAGTTATATTGTCTTCAAACACCTATCAAAATTGTTAAGCAAAAAAAACTGCTTTTCAACACAGGTTCACTTCATAACGAAAACAACCTGCAGAATGAAATCCACATAGCCACTATGTTGTGACTGAAGTTCATTGATGTCCCATTTCGTTGAAGATACCGCCGATATCATTTGCGAATAGTTCAACGCGCGACTGGCCACACAACCATAGACACACTCTCGCACATCAACTGTCACCGGTAATACCTAGAAGAAAACTTTCATTCATATGAGAAAATAAACTACAAACTTCAATCCATCTCCTAAACATTGTGATCAGCAATTCCTAATTTCTGCTGCAGCTTAAGATTTATTTTCCTTTCTCTAACATGCATGAATTTAAAATCTTCGAATGAGAAAATACGCGAGAAAAACGCTCAAAATGCATAACGATGGTTCTTTGTTTGGATTAAAATGGAACAAAAAAATGCTCACCTTTGAATAGAAATAGTCCAACGTCGCACAACGTTTTGTTGAATTTATCAATGACTCAATAACTGGACGAATAAGATCGAGTTGTTTGGCGAGAAATACTCTGAAATTATGAAACTAGTCAGAAGAATTACTTTCCACTTGAAAGATTATCGAAAATTCAATAGCATTTGCATGGAAAAATTTACAATCCTTTTATGTTCAACAAAACTTTGCTAACAAATCTGTTCAAAATTGTTTGAAAATCACCAAAATATCCTTTAACTTCCACATAACAACACTCAATTGGAATGAAAAACTTCTTTTGCATCCCAAAAAAACTTCTAAATTTGTCGACAGTTTTTACACGAGTTCTCTCTCGTATCATTCAAATAAATAGTGAAAATGTAGTACCAGCAACAACCAACTTACAAAGATTCAACAGCAACAATACGCTCGGAAAGGGCGAATATTTGATCTGGGTAATTGAGTTGAACCATTGGGGATAAGTTACACGGATACATTCGGAGTTGCTGAAAACACTCAAGTCACATAAGTCACTCAAATACGGCAAAAACCAAAACAACAACAATTTGAAGTTTTCTTTCATCAAAATGAAACGACCGATAAAAATAAAAAGAAATTATAACAAACAAACGGACATGTTCAGTTGGTGACGATTCGTGTGAATAGATTAGCTCTTCTCGGATTTTATAGAGTACAGTGCGAAGTCGAGTGGAACAAAACTGAATATCAAAATTTTTGCCGTCAGATGAGAAAATTGAGTGTACCTGAATTCATACAAATATAAGTAAGGAATATATAAATGTATATATTTAAAATCGATGCAGTAAAAATGATGACATGACAACTCACATAAATTAGTAAAACTGACTCATTCAAAAATAAAAAGGGATGAACAAATGTGACGTTTGCATACACAAATGAACGAGAATCAAACTGATATAAAACAGATTGCTTCCAAAATATTCAAATATTCAACGGAAATTTTGCAAATGCAAATTGCTATACATTAAACAAAATTCCAGATCAGAAGTACGAATCAGAAAATTAACCGAAAAGAAGAAATAATTGAACAACTGCGTTATCGAAGTGATTGCGTGCTCTGCAATTGAATGTAACAAATACGTCATTCGGATATACCGTCCTGCAAATAACTCAATTCATAAAAACATAAAATGATACCGTTGAATTGACAATTCAGTATCAATTCAGAAACTTCAATAACACAACACTCAAAATTAATAAGTCAAATCTGATTTTGCGTTTAACGGTAATTTCCTCGCAGTTTCACGTTCGAGCGACTCCGAAAGCGGTCAACTTCACCAGAACACACTGTTGGTAAACACTTCAGAAAGATCAGTTAAAAATGAAGAAACAACCAAAAAATCGAAGAAGATTCAACGCGGTATTGCAAAGGACTGGTGTTAGTTGTTGGCATCCATTCATTGCTGTCGGACTACTAAAATAATGATTTTAAAACGCAGTCCAAATTTGAAACTCTCATTTACGAACCAATATTCAAAGTATAAATTACAAACCAATCTTCAAAAAGTATAAACGCGTACGTGTCACCGCTCATCGACATCCTTGTGGCACTCATTGGTGATGCTATTTCAGAATCGGTTTCATCAAACGAACTCTTCGTCTGAAAATACAACCCTATCGCTATACGAATAATCGGAAAAAGGCTGCTTTTAACGTTTTAAACGACTCATATTCTTCGTTTCCTCTCATCAGCTTCGACTTGAATCATTTCCTATACCATCTACCAGTATCACGTTATACTAACTTCGAGAATATGCATTTATGAATTTATGACTTTTTTACAAAATTGAAATCTCTGTGATTAATCAACTTGTTTGCAAATCATTTTTCAAAACAATACGAAAGAAAGGAAAGAATATCAAAAAAATGAACCCACCATATTGGATGTAGTGGATATTTCGAGAGTTTTCTGTTTAGCCTCTTGCGAGAACGGATTGAATGTACCCGGTGGTATGATTTCAAAATCGAGCGCTTCACCAAGTTTTGCGTTATCGTTAACATCTTCGTGTTCCACATCCTCATCACAACAATCAGATGATTCCTTCAGGAAATTAAATTCCTTAAAATTGCTATAATCTCATTCCGAAAACGCAGTAAAATAAGGATGGTAATAGTAATAATAATCAAAATAATAGCAATAATAATAATACTGATAAATGCAAAAATAATCAAATCTAACCTGTAGATCGAAAACCGTAAACTGCAACGGTACAGGACACAAAGCGAACGCCTCATTCTCAAGGAACATTCTCAGTTCATCCATCCGTTCTCGATGATATCTGAATGATAATAAAATGCTTACTAATAGCAAACTTTCAACGACCAAAAGATCTTCAAAGCATCGCTATTTTCGAAACAAATCATTCAGAACACAGCCAACCTTCCGAAATAAAGATGCGTTTGCTTTTCGAGAGAAATCGATACTTCACCACAAGAATTCCCAAAATAAACGCGTCCAAAATGTTTAAACCTAAAAATTGAACTGAACAATATAACAAGTGAATGTATTACATCCAAAAATCCTAAAATATAACCCAACAATATCGCCGGCTAGCTTTAGAAATCATCGAATAGGTTTGAGCACTTGATCACTCAAATTATTAATCGCTATTCATTTCAAAGATTCACTTTGTAAATAACGAAGTATGCTATCTGTTTTGTTATTATTTGTTATAAGTCACAGACGGTTGAAAACCTCAAACATAACCTCTTTTTAAAAAGAAAAGTTTTCAAGAACTCAAAAAAACTGACCGATTAGCCATTTCAACGATATCAAGAAAATGATCAAATTTCAACATCGATAAATCATGACAGCATAACAGAGTGTTAAATTTCGTAGACGCAGTTTTGAAGATGGAATACAGCGAATCTGCTAACGTCTGCTGAACTATGCCTATTATATCTGAAACTAACAACTTCATTACAACTACTTGATCTCCGAAGTGACAATCTCCAAAGTCAGTACTGTTTTTGAATTGAATCATTCAAAATGGAATAAATCTACCAAAATGAAAACGAAATGGCTCTTCGTCACGACCCAACGCTAAATGATACAATAAATTCAATCGTACAATAACATCAGAAAACAATCGAACAATAAAGCAAATCGCACACCTTCTTCATTCTGTTGCGTACAATTGATTCGTTCATCTTCTTCAATGTGATACCTCAGAATGTCGTGATAAGTGAACAATACCTTACATATTACGAATCCTACTTCACGAACACATTCTAACATATTCTCTGCGTCGACTGCCTTAATGATCAACTGAATTCGATATGCTCAATTCATTGGCTCATCCTTACTCTCTTCCAAATATAATAAACTCATCATCAAATATCAATAAGCATTCTTCGAGCGTTAATCTAACACCAAATTTCCTTCTTATCGATGTTATAAAATCAAAAATACTTCTGTGTCACTCGAACTGCTAATGAATGTAAAACAAACGAAAAATCACCTCACACAGCTGCTCGTATGACATTTCATCAACGTTAATCGCATCCGCGTTTTGCGCGTGAATTCGATCCGTCAGAACGGTTCTCGCTGAACTCTCCAGTGTGGCGCTTATAAATCCGACCACCTTTTTGGCTGCTTCCTGCAATCAAACAATCACTACCTAAACTGCAATAAAATTGCAGTTTGACCTGATCCATCGATAAGTTAAAATTTCAACAAAAAATGCAACAGTATTTATGCACTTTAGTCTGTAACTTTCTTGATGATTACGCTTAATGATCACGATTTCAGCATTTAAATCTACATAATTACCAAGTTGAATTTTAAAATTTCCAGTAGACTGAAGGAAAATTGATCATTTCTCAAATGAATTCATGATCAGGACGATTCGCTCTGAGGATTGAACAAAAATTTTGATGAAAACATTTAATCGATGGTGACTACATCGATGTATTTAAATCTGACCAATAATTATCGCCCGCAAATCCCCTCGCTCGCAGTCAGCAATTGAGACGAGTTATAAGAGAAGTAAATCGATTGCGAAAAAGAAGGAATTGCATGAACCTCATTCTTGTCGAGCATTTGATATGCACAACAAACGGATGCGTAACGATCTGGATCGAATACGACGGTCAGCGATGCCAACGAATTATCCAAACTCGATTCGATCTCGTGCATCGTTGCTGTCAACTTCTCGGACAATTCCCTTTAATGTTCAAATTACTAAACCAGCTTAGATATTTTCAATCAATACAAAATTTGAACTTATTCTTAGCAAATTAAAGTTTCTCAATTATCTGAAAATAATTCTGATTTGAAATTTTCAAAATAAAATCACTATGAACAACATTTTCTGATTTTCAAGAAATTATTAACCTTATGCATCTGAATTGACTATACGTTGTCGCCGCCTTTTGAGCTTCATTGCACAGTCGGATCGCGTCTGGGAAATTTCCTTCCTCAAACAAGTTCAGTACAAATAATCTTACGAAAAAGCTGGCAAGGCATAAAAATTGTATCAAAAATTGCAGTTCGAGAGCGTAACGAATTTTTCAACAACACCAAATTCAACAGATCGAATCTGCTGCCGTAACTACAGCCAAAATCAAGAAATAACGTTCTCAAATCAAATCACATTATTCACCACGAAACGAAATTCTCAAGAAAATACAATCCATGTCCATACCTGAATGAGATCCTTGAGTTGAAATTCCGTCTCATAAAGTGTTTTTACCGTTCTCAATGAATTCTTCAAATGTCTCAGAAATATCTTATTGCGATGATTCGCCAGTATTTGCAGTCCATTCCTACTCTGACTTTTCGCAATACCCAGATTCCTAGAAGAGTACCATAACATATCTAATGCCAACCTAACCCCAGGAAAATTACAATGGATAAATTATAAATCAACATTCAGTTACCGGAAATAAATGTCGCATTCTAAGCGATTTCAAACGATTGCGAAAGTTCTGAATGAAGCATTGAAAATCACTCATTCTGCCTTCTAATAAATGACCAATGAACAAATTTCCTCAACACCATCGTAACTTATTGAATTCGATAGAAACACACTCGATAAAATGCTTAAAATAATCGACAACCAACGAATAATAAACACCAACCCGCGTATCCTCATCACAATATTCAATACATCCGCCAATTCACTATGAATATCGTCAACATGTTTCAATTGTGCTGAATAGGACGGCGAATTCTCGAGAATCATCGCTGAGATTCGTTTCGAGACCACCTGAAGTTGGCGTTTCAATCTTTCCATTTCACGAGTGATATCCACAGGCAGCAAATCGTTTCGGATCATCTTCTGAAGATCATACATTCAACTGAAGCACTAAATGTACTACTGTAAAATCAACAAACGCCATTTATTTGCATTAAACTTGCTGATCATATCTAAGCTACAGAATGAATTCATCTAATTTTCAGCAATAAATTGCTAACCTTCAACTCATAGTCAGTCGCATCAAAGCCATCATCAATATAATACGCTGCATCGATGCTCTCCAAAATCTCGGACTCCCTAACCGGATCGGGTGTTGGTAAACAACGCGTTTGGAGCTGAAGTGAAACATTGCATTTATGTGAGCAACTTTTGACAATTGACGTTTAAAATCTAGGATTATTTCGTATAGCTGTTTGATGTGTTATGATTAAAAATCACACGAATGAAAGATTATATATTTATCAATTGTTGCACCACTGTAATATTAGTAAATTATGTTATGGAATGGCAATTTATCTCATTAACCTTTGCCTTTGAGGTACCTTGTCCCGAAGCAGTGGATAGATCGCGTACAACACGAACATTGTCCATCGATTCCATCTGTAATCACCATCCAAGCAAACAAACAATCTCGCTATTAATAGTTCAGATTCTTAACGTAATTTATATTTGGACGATGTAATCATCCTCGGCGACAACAGACTCAAAAGAAACTAATTGCAAAACTAACACTCGGGAATTGATCAGGATCAGATGAATGCGGTGAGGATGATTGTGAATCAAAAGAGACGTGTGAACACAACGACTTTTTCATCATATTGCCATCCAAATACGGCAAATTCTACCGATTCAACAGTTCACAATACTACACACAACAAATTTGCTCTTCTATCGATTCGTTCGCTTCATTATCCACTGCTTGCTCTTAAAATGCACACATTCATATTGTCGAAATACCGCTCAGATTAATTTATCGGAGATAACTTCAAATTCATTCTAAATCTGATATTCAGAAATTTAATCCATTTTGAAAATTACATCAACGATTGATAGTTCCATGCTGTATGTCATTCCATAATAATGTAATAAAAATGTTGATATTATACAGCAAAAGTCGCTCAAAACTCAATCACCACACCACAAAACGAAAAAATTTCGCTACATATTCAATCGTCATTAAGTCAATACGACAAAATCTGAGTTGATTTATCCATTCGAGTTCTCAGTACCGAATGCATAACTGACCATTAAAGATCAAGTTTCATTACTTAACCCTACATTATTAACTTTCACCACCGACATTATTGATGTATATTGGCATGTGCCATCAGATACGATGCAACGACAGTCGATAAAACATACGAGAATGCGATACAAAAACGTACCGAATCATTTTATTAGTGATTCAAATTCACATCAAACAAACCAACAATGCAATCAGCTACATCAATGGAATTACATCAATGAACAAACGACTGAATTTAAATGAATAATAAAATTTGATGGTAGCAACATCCAACAATAACAATCATATCAATGAACAAAAAAACAGTCAATGAATATCGTCTTTTGAATATTAATTGAATCGAATATCAAATCCTTCTCTTCAACATTTTCGATTTGATAATCGAATCTAACTATAAGAACAACTAAAAATTATTACCATTACAATTAACAAAACATTTCTTCCGTTTACGCTACGCAATTCAACGAAAAATGCTAAAATCGCACAACCCAGGGGATTATTTCTACGTCTTCTGGCTTCTTTTCAGTTCTGCGATAAATTTCTCCATCTCCGCCAGCTTCTCGGCTGCTTCTCGCCTTTGACGTCGTTCGGTTTCTCTCTTTTCCAGCTCTATTCTCTTCAGTTCTTCCTTCTCTGCGCTACTCAGTTTTCTCTGCTTTTCGGGTACCTGCGATATTATTCCTTCAGTGTTTGCTTTCGTACATCAAACAATAATGTTATCTCATTTTCACTTCATCGCTGTAATGTCTCAAAAACAGAATTATCAAATGATTCTTTCAAATCCCTTTGGTTCGATGTAAACTATTACCGTAATCTCCTCAACTGAAGGACTTCGTCGTTGCAATTGCCTCAAACGATCGCGAGCTCGTTGATCGTCTTTCAGTTTCAAAACCTTCACATACTTTTCTTTAGCTTCATCCATTCTATTACACTCTTCCATCCTGCAGCAGATTGCCGATAAAATGAAAAATTCTCTTTTGAATCGCCAAAAGTTGACAAACAAACAATGAAAACACTATCACAGATCAAATCAAAACAAATCTTATTTCATGAAACATCTCTCCAATCAGATATTTTATCAAGCGTTTACTCAAAAAAACAATACAAAATGCTAGGCTGTTAAATTTCTGAGCACACTCAATAAGCAACATTCCACTAATCTGAACTGCATAATAACCCTCCCCAAATAAAATAAAAAATCCAAAAATCATTATCCATCACTAAATGATCACTAATGAAATCTTAATAAAGTCGACTTCATTCGATGATTAGATCAAGATTTTCAGTGAAAAATTTAAGCGACACTATGCAATTTGGGCTGAGAACTAGTCTTCAATTCCATTCCGGCACTCCGATTGCATCAATTTGAGCTCACAATTACCGAACACAATTCAAAGAGCAGATAAAATAACAGTTAAAAGATGAACAGATAAAGCGACACATACTTTTTGCCGGCTTGCAGTAATGTTTCCACCATATACGTTTGTGCATTGCTATGAGTTGCGTTCAGTGAGAGTGCTTTATCGAGATCATTTTCTGCGTTCAAATAATCACCCAAATTCGCATACCTAAAATTACTCGATCGTTAAACAAAACAATTCAAATTATTCTATAACAACAAAACAAAACATCATCAAAATATTTCTCAACGAATAAATCTTCAATGAACGATCACCGCACTGCATCGAACACTCGAATAAAAGACTAACGCAGCAGCTCGGCCCACAAGCGCTTCGATGTTGACGTCGAAGAGCGCGAGAGCCTTATTGAAGTTCTGAATGGCCAGTTGAGATTCACCGCTTCGTATCCGTTCCACACCCTTCATCACACTTTGCATCGATGACTCTTCATCTTGCTTACGACGTAAATACGGTGCACGTGAACGTGTGGAAAAATCAACGCCTGAAAGGGAAATAAAACTATTTGGTTAAGGAGAACAAACGTTAACGAATACAAAAATATTTCATATCCAAATCTGAAGCTTCACGATTGCGTTTCATATTGCGAAAGAATTCTTTAATGAATAAAAATTTCGAATTGCAAGATTGAAGAAATTGCATAGATTCATGAACAAACAAACAAATAAATAAATAAATACCTTCGAGTTCAGGTAAAAACGATAAGCATGAATCAACTTCGATGCCATATAAATGCGCTAGATTTGGATTATTGCAACGATGATATTCAGATAAGGCATCTTCGAATGTACTTCCTTTATGCAATGATTCGGCGTTCCTGTAACGTAACGCTTTTAAACTCAGCCACAAATGTAAGAATTCCTTTTTCAATAGCAAAGAAAAATAAGGGATTGGAGCCGAATTTGATTATGTAAAAGAACTTGAAGATGCAAAGAAATTTAGAATCGAGTAAAGAAAACAAATGATCAACCCAATTTTCTATTGTTTTCTTCACAAAACCGATTAAATAAATAAACACAAATTAAGTGCATTATCCAAACATTGTAATGAAAATTGCGAGTGAACACTCATAAAACAAAACGAAATCAAAATGAATCAAAGATCTAAAGCGAAACGAACCTGAAGTACGTAGGCAGATCATTTTCCGATAAAATCTCCTCAATATCAAATAAAAATTAACGAAAATGCCGACATAAAACTATCAAAATGAAGAGAAAATCTACAAAAATTACAATTACGCAATTATCAGAATGAAAGCGATGACAATGCTTCGATGAAAAAGCACTACAATCAAAATATTATTAAAATAATATTGACCACGCTCACGATAATAAAACAAGATCAGCGATAAAATCGACGACAAAAATAATAACAGTTTCAATAAGCACTGAAATCAATCGCTGCAAACAGATATGCACATAATTCGACAACGAAAAAGTGCTCCATTACGGGGAATACGTTCTCATATCGGAATCAAGCTAATTGAAAGGTGTACGTAAACGAAAAGAGAAAGAGCTCATTTATGTTAATGTTAATCATTTCTTTAAAGGTTTCAACGAATCACCAAAATATCTTCAAGAAAGCAAGCACCCAAACGAAAGGCTCTACTCACCGCGCTATCGTCCATTTGCAAATTCAGCGGGTGATCGTCGTCCGGCTCGTCGACCACCACTATAATAGATAAATATCAATTCTTTGGGATTTATAAACCAACCTTTCAGTATGTCGTTCGTCCTGATATCTCGACTACACTGTTGCACACTTCGACCCACCAACACCTGTGGTTACAAACTCACTTCAATCAACAAAATTAATTCTGTTTTGCTGATTAATTTATCGCATCCTCATCAGACACTCTTCACTCAAATACTTTCTGATGTGTCGTCATTTGAACGTGTGGGATTTTTTCACTATCACTGATCTACTGATCAACTTATTGATCAACTCACATTCTACTTGCTCTAATCTTTGGGTTGAATCCCTTATTTTCAAACAGATACAAATGATTCGCTCACAGTTCCCTCAAACATTCAGTTGAAAAAATTTAAAAAATGGAAAATTGGTGAAAATTATATGATGAGTTGTATTAAGGACTGACCTGAAAATCATTGATGAGGTGTGCGGATCGTTTGAAAGGATGCAATACACATAAGGGTTGAACATAGAGAGCTGCCAATTCGACACGTTTCACACGGACGCATAATTCATCCCCTACCTGAAATTAATTAGCTTTTATCTGAGAATATCCATTCGTAAATTTGTGAAATGATATGTACGGCATGTACGTGATTATAAAACTTTGAAGATGGTACACATTACAGAATCTTGAGCGGTACATCTAGCATGTGAGATTAATTATTTGAAAAAATCTTTGTCCATATTTCATCAAACGAGACACTTAAGTTTATAAGCAAATAAACTTAATTTGCTGATCGAAACCGGAAAGAGAAAACGGACATAAAAACAAATTAAACAAGACTTACTCGAACATCTTCTATGAATTTGCGTTTGGCGTCGACTGAATGAATGTCTTTCGAGAAACACTCAAATGGAGGCATCTGATCAAGATCTGTTCGCCAAACCGATTGACATCGACCAACGAATTTTTGTACAGAATCATTTTTCAGCAAATTTTCACAACGAGAATTCAGCTCAGAATCAGTTGTTTCACTGTGCGATGAACTTGCTTCAGATGTGCGTCGTTTGTAACGACTTCTCGATGAGGATGATAACGTTGAACCATTCATTGCACGAATCTGTCATTTCATGAACCCACTCATTGCGTTCATATTTCAACACATCAACATCAATGCTGAAATGATCATCAAACAATGCACTCGCCAAACAGAAGTGAACGCTTTCGATTCGGTCTAAAGGAATATCGATCGGTCACAGACATCATATCATCCGCAAAACATCACACTGCTTAAATCTAAACAATTACAAAAAACTGACCCCATGTAAATAAAGGCTTATTGACCTAATCAATAACTTAATTAACCTAACGTTAACCTAATCAAACAATCATTAGCGTGTTTCTCTTCTCTCAGGAGTCTTGTTCGATGCACGCATTCGATGGGAATATTTTTATGAAGAATACAGTAAACAATGCCACTAGAAAATTTGTTATCAGATCACTATTATCATTATTCGTCAAGAAAGAAAACGCGAACAAATCGGTCTTCATGCCCACGATGGCTTAGATTTGTATTCGACTACTAATTCGGACTGGCGCACGCGTTCTAACCAAGTGAATTTTACATCCTCGACAGCCTACCTCTCCGGAATTTTCCGCGAGGTCCTCTTAAGGTATAGAAAATTACCTAGCGCTTTTAATGCTCACCCATTGGGTGCAGAATCCATCCGAATGCACAAAACCAGTTCTCTCTCACAAAGTGCTCTCAAGAAATCAGTTAAACGATGACCTATGTAGTAAAACAACGCGATTTAACGCACATACGGCATACCAGGACAACAACCAAGCGTGTTCAAAAATATTTATTTCAACCACCTATCTATGAATTAATGAATTCAATCCGTATTTAATATCAGTTCAACACGAATGATTAAACAAAGTCGGATTATGAATAAATCGAATAAGCAGCACCTTGAGTATGACTCAATTCGGAAAGCAATCAAACAGATCATCAATATGACAAGATGCTGAACATTATGCATGATTTGATTATGAAACACCTGTTCAACGCAATAATACTCTCGTTTTTCCATACGCAGGCAAGATTGACACGATGTATAATTGTTACATGACATTTGAATAACGAACAATGCTCAAAATCGCAAATTCGTTAAAATTTAACAAAATATTCGAAATGAACAAATACTGAATGAAGTCGAAAAAAGGACAGAGAAGAAACTTTCTAAAAAATAGGCGATGATCGGTAAAATTTGTTTCAATTATCGTAAAACACTTATTCAAATTCATCACATTTTTAACAATACAACTTTCCATTTCCATCGCAATACAACATTCTTTTTCCGTGTGCATAAAGATAAAGTTATTAGTATCGTTACAACGAATCTCGTCTAATTTAAACGGACACATCGACAGACTTCGGTAATAACTAATGCCAACTCACAAAAATTAAGCATTCCTCTTAACCATTACTGAACAAAACAAGGGCGAATAAGATCAAAATCAATTTACAGTTATTTCGATAATCGCCTATTCGAGTGATAGAAACAACGCAAAAAGAATTTACAAATCGAAAAACACCAGTATCAATGGATCACGTTCGAAATGAAAGAAACAGAGGCGTAAATAAAGGAAAGCATAGAAAAACATTTTAAATTATACAGAAATAATCTCATTCATAAGCAAGAAAACACCAGCAATCTCTGACAACGTTATTCAATAAATAAACCATAACTTCAATAAATCTGATAAACTCAAAAGATTCAATAAAAATTCTCAGAGCAAAATGTAAATGTAAATAATCTCGGAAGAACGATTCGAAGAAGAAGATGGCAAATAATTAATCAGCAAGAAACGATGCAAATATGGCGTTAATATGGTGAGGAAAAAGGCGTTGGACTGAATGAATACAAGATGTGTGCATGAGTACAAAATATATTATGTCAATAATACTGACCATTAGAATCAAGAAGCAAAAAGCAGAAGTTGGGCTAAACATCAGAGTAATTCAACAGTAAATAGCAGTCAATAAGGCATCATAAATTTTAGATATCTGTCGTCCTAATAAGGACTGACAATTGAACACACTCGTATGGGTCAAACCATTTGTTCAGTACAAATTGTTAGATGATTAACCAGTTAGTCCATAAGATGACAAGATGTTAGTTTGCAAGATTCAGATAGAAATTCGGTAATATTGAGAGAACATTTTCGTAATATAATACAATAAGAACGATCATATAATTCAATACAAATTGCTAGTTCAGTACAAATTCTTCGCACATTCATACAGAACATTGGATAAAATGAGTAGTTGAATCATGGCATTAAGAATAGACAGATACAGTGGATACAACGACTCCTAACAATCAGCACATCATAATCAAACGGATCAATTTATCGAAAAGATGACTAACTAAAATTTTCATCGATACGAAATGATGATATGTGAATTTCCATCAATCAACTTATAAAAATCAACGACGTAAAATATGATTCGCCAGAAATTTTTTGCTACAATAAATATTTTAATATATTGATAATGCTTTCGCTGACTGGTGTTTATGGCCGAGGAGACGTTTATTGACGTCGGTGACTGATCAGGTGACTAACTCTCAGAAATAGGTGATAGATAATTGGCCGGAACATATCCCTTTGATCCGGACGCGTTTTCTACTAACCACCACGCGTCATTCCCTTCATCGTCACTCTTCTTCATAATGTGTAACTGCAATGAGCAATATAGTTTCAGTAAATATATCTCATAGTGATTTTAATTTAATTCAATGATTCTCACACTTGATTATGCGAAACAGTATCTGATTATTTCATTTCATCTTTTCTATATTTTATATCCTGAAACTTGTGTCATTTACAAACATCAATCCACTTGACTCAATAAGACCTCATCAAATCAATGTGAGAGCATAGTAAAAAAGAGAGATAACACACTTTATCACCCTCATTTATCGTTAATTGAATTTCGTCAGTACCTTCAAAATCGTACTCCGCCTTGTACCATTCACCATCGCTCTATAATATAATAACAAAATACAACATCAACAATTAATCGCAACATTCAGCTAACTCTGCTAACAATATGTATGCCATATCGAAAGTCATAGCATTGATTACTTCAATTCTTCTTAAATATTCATCCATGCGAAATTGGAATTATAAATTTGGATATTAAATTCTAACGTTCTTTTTGTTGCAATCCATTAATTTTTGAATTTTTACTGAATCCCGAATTTCCAGTCATCAAGATGTCAATCATCGATAGTAAATATCAAACTTGAAACTGAAAATCCATAGACACGCTTCTACAGTGAGCCAATAAAACAAATAATACAAGAAAAATGAACATATAAAAAATCTAAAGTAATCGGAGTTAAACTTTTAAAATGAACCAAAAGTTGTAATACTTTTGGCGGAGTTGAATAAAGCGGAGGAGAATAGTAAAGAGTTGGCTTGAATTGATTTGTGGTGTTGATGTTTCTGGGTGGATGTTGCTGTACTTCTTTTTCAGTTGGTCGTGTTGGAATCAAAGGTGCCTTCGTGAAGTGCGATACCATTTGATCATCAATCTGAAACGGATCAAACCATGTAAATTCCAACTCAACTATAGTTCTGCATAAACTCTCAGTAACGAATTCCTTCTTTCGAACACAAAAGCTCAGGAAGCAATTATGAAAAAGAATAATCATGAATTGCAATAATCCAAAACAGAATTGCAAAATGAATTCATTAAAAAAAAACGGAATGGATGCAATTATCGGCTGCGCATTTAAAATCACTCATTTCACGATTGACCACTATAATTTTCAACAAATTTAAATTCATTTGCGAAGTTTAACTTGTTAAGTTCGTCACTGCCAAGAACCAAAAAGCATAAAATAAAACGATGCTAATATATTAATTGATAATAAATGATACAATTCAATACACAAATAATCATATATCAATAACAATAAACAACACAGATAAACGAACCGTTGAAAAGCGGATTGGTGTGACATTATCGTCTGAATGAAAGAGATTATTGAAGATGGTATCTGAAGAGTCGAGTCGGATTTGCTGATCGCTGCTCGATGAAGTGGCAGTGCTTTGCGACGGTTTTTTGAGAATATCGGCTCGGAACGGATTCAGCGATGATAAAGATGGTGCTATCGGCGTTGTTGTTGTTCCTGCTGCTAGTTTCGCTGTTGATTCTGATGCCATGGCTGGCTGCAATTCCTACTTATGTTAAATACTTTTCTCAACTGAATATTCTTCAAATTCAAATTCAAAATTTCTGAGTCGAATAAAAATGTCTCTGAAAACTGAACCTTTTCAGCGAACGGCATTGACGACGACATAATGGGTGTTGGTGTGATCGAGATTGGCTGTGGTTTAATCGGTGAACTCAAATCCAATAAATTTTCTTCCAAATCTGAAACAATTCAACAAAAGATGTTAGTTTATGAAACTTAAATAAGAGTGATTAATAGGGCGCAGAAAAACTAATTCCACAACTTTGAAAATAATTTTGAATTGAAAAAAAGGTCACCTCCATAGCTAACAGAATGAAAACTTAAAGAATAAAACAACAAATAAAAACAAGATTTTACAATTCATTGAGACAATACGCACATTGTCCTGATCCAATGGTAGATCAGAACTTTTCGTAAAAAAAAATAAATTTATGTTCTCAGTTTCTTAAACACAATCTAACCTGAATCACATAATTACCAACTAACAATAAGATGCTCATTTTGAATTCATTTTTGAAAGAAATGTAAAATCGACCACGGCTGTTCGATAAGGAGTATAACTAGATGCATCATGAAAAACGAATTGTAAGAAGAACGAACCGATTAAATTGTTCTCGTCCTTCTTTAATGGTCTGCTTGATGACTTCACTGCTTCTATCTTATTTGATGACTGCTGAATTAGTCAGCTATATTAGTTCGAAGAATAGGTGTAGATGAGACCTTCTCATTCAATACATTTGAAATTCATTCATTCAAAAACGGAAAAACCAGCGTAGTATGATAAATTCTAAACATCCTTGAACTTGATTTTTCAAATGCACTCTGCTTATGCGAGAGATAGGTATTCTGTTCGCTGTTCCTCTTGCGGTTCTATATCTAAATGTACATTATAAAAGCATCCCAGGACAAAGGTTTCCTCAAAAAGACTTCACGATAAGCTTATCTCAACGTGCAGCAATCGATAAAATGAAAAACTCTTCATCTGAAATTATAAAGAGATCAAAAAACGAGAAATGGAAGACAAACACTAACGTTTAAGGACGGATAAAGCATTTGGATTGATGCCTGTTGAACGTTGTTACTGCTGGTTGACTCATTCGGTTTGTACGGTTCCAAACAACTTTCCGGAATGTAACCTTTCGTAATGCCATTGTCACATAACCTGAACGCAAACTTTGATTTTGATCTATTCATATTTTGATCAGATTGTTATGTTATTAACAGACTTGGTGTGTGGTGAGTGCTTTCATCGTGAAGATAATTGTTTGAAGATAAACATCGCACGATCTATTGCAATAACACATACCACGGTTGCTGTTGCTGTGTTCCTTTTTCAATAATCATCACAATATCTCCTCTTTCCACGTTCAATTGTTCATCTACATTCGGCACAACGTCTGGTGGCCAACGCTGAAACAATTTCACTTCAGAAATTAGAAATAACTAAACAATTCAAACTCTATCACCCTTTCATTAAGATTCATATGATTCGCTACAAGATGCTGGTAGTTTAATGATGATGCAGAAAGCAAGACATTTGGTTTTAATAAAGATTTTCTAGAATAATGAACATGGATGCCGAAATGCTGAAAAAAGTAAAGAGACGATCATCACCTGTACAACAGTCATTAACAACGATTCGGTGCCTTGTCCTCGCATGATACGTATCAAAGCATCTCGCTCACGTTCACTTTGCAACCGTCTCTGTTGAACGCTTGATGTGGTTCCATTTGAAACTGAATGACAAATTATATTACGTATCACTATTGTTCCACAAACTTATTGTTTCATCGTGAAAATATGAAAAAAACAAACGAGAAAAATAACCCACTTGGAGATGTCTTTGGAATGGACGTTTTCGGTTGCGATGATATTTGCTGCTGTTGAGCATTGGTAGTGTTCTTGCTACGCGATAACTCGGTGACCATTCTCGAGATCGCAATCAACGATCGAATCCGAGATTCATACGGATCAACGAAGTGACGATACGGCACTGCGAAGTACGCGTATACCTCCTGATAACATAAAATCATCATGAACGATAGCTCTCGTGAAGTCAGTCTCAGATTAGCGCAACATTAGGCACAGTTTCAGACTCGACGGAATTCTCAAAGGACGATCATCAGAAAAGAGACATGAATATTTATATCATCATAGACAATAACTGTACTCGAATGCTGACAACAAAGTCATCATTGAGGCAATCCAATCAATCAATTCACTTCTGCAATGTTTCAAATAAAAATTCAAACACTCCCGATGACAACAAGATCACAACTTAAATATCATACCGGTGATAGCTGATTGCGTAACTGCGTAACACGAGCAAAGTACTGTTCATCTTTCGCGAGCACCTCATCAACCAATGCGAACGTTCTCTAAAATTAATCTTTATGAGCTATGAATATTAGTAATATTCAAATTAAGATTTTAAAAGAAAGTGATATTATGTGAAATAAACGAAAACATAAAATACATTATTGATGTTATCAATTATTTTCGGCAGAGTCATCTTCAGCTGGTTATTCAATGCCTCGTAATCGCCTTGTTTTATCTTCAAATCATCTGCCTAAATATAAATTTACAATTAGACGACTCATCATCATTGTCATTTATTTGCTATCATTCATATTATTACATCTATAAAAACGAACACATCATCATGTTCAGTTTCCAATAAGCACACATCACATTTATCCACTCATAAAGACATTTAATGAAAATTGACGACGATTAAGAAGCCAGCATCCAAGCTTTGAAAAACTCCATCAATAAAGTCTTCAAAACAAAGACGACCGATAAACTAAACAAACAGATTCGATAAAACGCAAAATAGAACAAAACTGAGTGCTTCCATTAAAATAACTCACATTCTTATCACTTCTCTTCGCCGATTCGAAGTCAATCAATTTATCGTAACGCTTCTGTATCATACGTGTTACTGGTAAACGTAAATATTTCTTCGCTTCCTCAACTGCGCTAAAATTACATCGCTCATTTCACATAAGTATTCCAATAAACAACGCAAATTCACAAATCAATATCGTTTCATTTCATTGCACGAATGCTCCTTAAGCCTTTTCATTAAATCGCTAAGCGTGCAACTAAGTCAACCAACTTCCCTTCCCTATTTGATAATATAAAGATAGTTTACAAGATGCTTCTATTCAGAATTTCGGCTAAAAATTTCCCAAGTAAAGTTCGTATACAGCACTCATTATTCTTATAACATAAGGGTGAACGCTGCATCCCACATATGGAACCCAAAACTCGCCCATGAGGATATGAAATCGCCCATTTATCGAATCTTTTGCCGAATCCCGTTTCTGACCACTACTGGCGAATATTGCCTAGACTGAGATTTGCTAGTCGCCAGTTAAATGTCCATTAAAAAATCCGAAAAACCCACTAATGATACTCACAAAAAAACACTGATAAATCAACATACGTTGAGTCAAGAAAAGTGCTCAAATTGCTCGCTTCAAACAACAGACTCTTGCAAAATCCACGAATCTCTGCATTCATCTTATCCGTATTCATCGCTGAAAAATCATTTTTTTTCTGTAATAATCTCACTTTCAATTCTCTCTTTCAAAAATTTCCAATGGCGTTTTGACAAAACGATAAGCAAAATGAATCATTTCAATAAGCAGTCTCCATTATAATGTCGCGAATAAAAGCCATTGAAATGCCAAATTAATGAAGCCATATAACACAATGATTACGAAATTTAAAAGAACGATGTTAAAGTGAATGTGTTAACTCACAAAGTTTCTCAACAGTTGTATGCGAGTCAACGTATTTTTTGGTTTGTGTCGTGATTGTATGCTTATAAACTTGAACTGCGTGCACGAATTTACACACTCGTCGTTCACTAATCTCCAGATTACGTACCACCGCATCGAATGTCACATCTCGTTGCTGAACTTTTCATCAAATATAATTGTGAGCACTTCTTTGCCTCAATGCGTAATCCCCCTCCAAATGCGAACACAACACTCCTTTGCCATACAAATAGCAATAACTTAATCCCAGAAACAAAAAATCAACACGAAAAGGACACTGATCTTTCAATAAACATTTCATACGTTCAAACGATCAATCTACATTCCAAAAATGAACATCTTTAATCGCTAAAAGTACACATTGTGCAATAAAGACTAAAAATCTTCGTGCATAAATGAATCAATTTCAAATTCACAATAATAAACTGAAATAAAATGAAGCAATAAACGAAACGATAAAACAAAAAGAGAAAATAAAAATGATAAAAACCAAAATAAGAAAACAACGTTAAACCATTTGGATTAAGCCGATTTGTGAGGTAAGTCGATACTTGAAACGATTACTTTTCTTCTTCACCGTATGCATATTCAATCGAGATAAACGTTTCGACAATGGCTCCTGCTCACTTCGATTGTATTTTTGTGCTGCAATTCGACAGTGTATCATTCGTGAACGATTACTTCAACATCGACTCATCACCACAAAACTATTTTTTAATAAATTCACACAAAAATACCCCCCCCCCCCCCCCCCCCCCCCTCCCCACTGCGAACGCAATAATTCACTAACCGAGTTCTTTACGACGTTTCGATTCGTTCATTTTGGACGCCAAAAGACTCATTTGTTTCAACGCTTCAAGTAATTTTGGATGGTCGATATGCGACAGTGGTGTGTTCTAAAAACTTCTTCATTTTCTCAATAATACTTCAAAACCCCTAACTTACATCATAACATTTCCTTCCGATAATAAACAATAACTTAAAATCGATTACACAATCAAGAAAACAATCAAAAAATTCCCTGAACTTACCTTAATAAGTTCTTCAATAAAGAGCGGATATTTGAGACATCGTTGAATGGGACGTGAGATGGCCGTATGAACGTCGAAGACATTCGCACCAAGTGCACGCATTTCAGCTACACATTCATTTAGTGCATTTTGCACTTTTGCATTCTAAAAGAAAAAAACTATTATACGACAGAAATGGAAAAAAACTATTCATAAACTTCTGTTTGGAGTTATCGACAATGGTAATACCAACCATTCATCTGAGCTCAACTCTAAAAGATATATAGAAATCAAATTAAAATTAAAGATCATCGAAAAGTGACAAGAGGGTTATTAAAAAGTTTCCAAAAAGAAACATGCCGATTCGATCAGCGTACTAATCGTTTCAACACACCGAAAATGAAGTCCGAATGTTTTCATAAAATAATCACGCATTTGCATGAATGCAAAACCATAGCACTGCTTTTCGGGAACATCTCCTGCAATACACTTGAACGTTTGCTGGGGTTATGCAAACACTTTTGTTCATATAAGTTTATGAACAACAAATTCAAAGCAATTCTTTCAACAACAAAAAAAACAGAATCTTTTAAAAAACCCAAGAGTAAAACCTTGTTGATGTGTCAATTGTCCAACAAGATGTTTCGAGAGTTCTCGTAATTGTGGGATACTTTTAGTGAAAAGTTTCTTTTGTTCTATGCTCAACGACGGTGAATTTTCAATTTCCTGAAAAATAACGAAAAGAATTCTTTTTCAATTGAAGCAATTATGTGGTCCAAGTAAAGCTATGAGATTGAGCTATAGAGCTGAGATTATTCTTTGATCACATTCTTTATCAGAGTTTCCAGTCATAACACAGGCACCAACATCCCAGAATCCAAAGAATCACAATCAAAATCTCAACAAAATTGACCTGAACCTATCGAAGAATAAAACTATCAATGAAAAATTTATGAGTGATCGTTACACAGTTCTCATCGAAACTTCTTGATCATATTCAATGATCAAGACTCTAGTACCGTAAATTGTACAATTACGAAGAATTGCAGAATGTCAACGATCAACACGAACAACCGAACACACATACCACTTGCCACATGCCCATATCACTCAGGTACTGCAGTTCACTCGCTATCAACTCCTCCACTATACGTTGTTTCACTGCGTACATATCTTCAGCACTCATCTTTCCTGACTTCGCTGATGTCTGCATAATACTATTATTAGTATTGGTGTGAGTGGCGTTATTGGCGAATGCAGGTAACGATACAGGTCTCGTCGGTTTATCGCTGGATCCCGACATATCGGTCGACCGAAATTTGATCGCATTCATCTTCGGTGGTGGCGGTCTTGAGGGCGCAATCCGCTTAATGCTACTGATACTCGAACCAAAAGCTGGCTGTTGCCACGATGAATTCGAAGTGAACGATGACGATGATGAAGACCCGAAAAATGCATCCAATTGATTCGCGTCAATTGTTATGGCAGTTGGTGAAGATGACAAAGGTTGAGGTGGTGGCAGTGCTGCTGAAATTGATGTGAATAACACTTCAAATGGGAACGAAAAATATATATGAACAAATATGAAACAATTTGAAACGAACACTTTAAACGAAAACAAATTCTTTGCATTCCATTATCATGAACGAGAAAAATGCTCAATTCAGAGAATGATGTAAAGTGTATATGCACACACATACAAACCGCAACCAATCATTCATTCATATCCCATTTTCAAATTAAAAAAATAATAATTTTAAAATGTCGTATCTTCATACAACACACATCTTGATCGAGCTCATAATCGAATCAATCCAAATGAAATGACCAATGAAGCATTCAATGGAAATAAACGCAAATGCATACGTTGTAAAGGAGTTGCTGGTGTTAGATGACTTGATGAAATCGATTTGTTGAATGTGTTCGAATAGAGATTGCGGTCAAAATCGGACGAATGTTCGAACGTTCCTTGTGCATCACTGGAAACTTCTTCTTCATCGCACACATCATCGTCCTCTTCATAGTCGTCTTCATCATTCGAGAAGATATGCAAAAATGAGACTGGAATTATTCCCGATTGACTCTTCTCTGGATTCGTACAAAATGCCCATTCTGCATTCACCATCTTCACCACGGACACACTGTCACCCGCACAAACACTCAACTCGTCCTGTTCGCGACCTTGAAAATCGAACATAACACTTGCCATCCTATAATATCAAAGTTTCGATTAAAATTCAAGATTTAATTTATAATCGTCATCTCTTTGTATTATCGTCAAATCAAATATCACATCCGGTTTCTTGATCAAACTCGCAATTAGTGAGTAAGAGCGAATCAATACAATTAACCAGCCAAATGAAAAAGCTATCAAAAGATTAACCTAAAACGATGAAGAATCAAATTTCACTGAACGAACTTTTAAGGTTCCATCAGCAAATGTTTTGGGGCAATACGCCCCTCACATCTTCTTTTCATCACTAATCTTACACCGATTCGGCATAAATCTTACACCGATTATAGCCACAAATTAGAAAAGCCAGGTACAGTAATATGCTTGGAGATAATCTTCAAAAAGATAACCGAACCCGATGAAACTTTTTGGTGAAATTGAGATTGGCCGTTGTTTGCAGAGAGGCATCATTGATTGGGCATAAATCCGATCGTTTTTGGGCATTTTCTGAGTATTTTGTTGGCTTCGGAAAACGACCTTTCCGGCGGATGACCCGTCTGGCGATGTTACGGCTGGTATGACCGGTAAGTGCGCATCTGGCGAAACAACTGGTGGCTGATCATATCGTTCTGCAATGCTCTCATCACATAACGCACGATCCGTTCCGTTCAATGATTTCATATAATTTTTATTGTAACAAACTTTCATTTTTGTCGTTCATCCATTTTGAACTGTTCATTTTTCATTTATAAAAGTGTGCATTTCATCAAAACAATTATCATATTCTATTACATTGACAGTAATTCTGGTTGGTGGAGAGACGCATTCGAAATTTGATACTTTCGTCGAGCACCACCCGACTTTGTCGTGTAAACAACACAGATGAAACGCATGATGAAATCGTTATTAATAAATCTGACACGAGTCTAACGATAACATAATCTATACCTGTCAACACGGGTCTATCAACTACCGTGGCAGCATCAGCATCAAATCTCTTTGCGATGTTTCCTTCCGTCCCATTCTCCTTTAAGAATTTTAAATGGCTCAAATACAAAACGAACAAACGCAGGTGAATAAAAAAAGAGATAAAATCGAATCTTAAAAATCTTCAACTAACCGGCAGATGTGTTAGCCGTAAAACAAACGATTTCGGGAACAATCCGGCTTTACCCAATCGCCTTGCATTCACCCCAACCACCGTCCCTTCATACCAATTCGCATCTATCTCCTTCGATACCACAATTAACTTCAAAATGACATTGCTTCATCGTTAAAAATCTTCTCCAATTCAATCAAACAATTATCACACTACCGCAAAATCATAACTAAATTTCCAATACAGCAATAACAAAAAGCAATGTGCACAGCCAACGAACAAATTCTCCAGTCAATTCACTATCAAAAGTTCCTTTCCAGACAGCGGTATGAATCTGACAGTTCAAAAATTGAATTATTTATTTTACAAAAATGAAACACGATTAGCATTAATATTACTTACTGTACTTACATCAAAGACATTGACAGTTTTATCAGTAGAGAGATAAGCACGTTATCACCATCATCGATCCTTTTAACATGGAAAAATTGTGAACGAAAGAACAAACTGACAAACGAACCGTATGTTTACCGAACGAGATATCGCTGCGATTATCACTGTCATAGTCCGCAATCGATGCCACAAAGAAGCGTTCGGTGGGTCTTCGATCCGGTAACTCCAACTTGATGATATTCTCCCGATGAACGCTCACCTCGTCTCCGCTCAGACGTGATCCGTTGTACCTGCATGTGAACTGTGATCATCTCTGCGTCATTCGTTGTCACATAATTGATTCTGATAATATTACGACCACTCACCATCCGTTTTGCTCTTCTCCGTTAACATACAGAATTTCATCCTCTTCAACATTTCTGTTGATCGATGACGCTTCATGCACATTGGTGATTGTATTCAGAACACGTACATAACAAGGCAGTTCCGTTCCTCGGATCATTTATTGTTAGTGTGCAATTATCGATAATCAGAATCGTAATGGCCAAGCTGAACACATTTGTTCGTCAGCCTTTCCCTCTTGAAAGGCCTTTGAATCGAATTGTGAATCTTCACCTGCAATATGCAGTTATACAGTGAAATCACTCTTTTAAGACTCTCCATTATTAAAGGACTAATGTAATGCGTTTTCGTTCACAATTGTAGTGACGTGCTTCAACACAACAATAACGGTTATGATGTATAACGGTAATCTCACGCAAGTTATGGTACTCTAAAAGTGGATGATACTACGAAACAAACCTTCAATATTCAATGCGCATAAATGAATAAGTTTGATCTTAATTTATTGAGTTTAACTGGAAGTATTAACTACAGAAATGGACAACATCCAAACCAATAATGCTCAAGAGCATAATCGTTCTCATGAGAAATGCGCTCAAAATGAGCACCAGAACTGCAACCTTCTCATATAAACTTGTCTAGCAATGTGCCAAATAATAGATAATCCAATGAAAGATGAGACATTTCGCAATACTCATCTGAATGCAATCACACCAAAACTGCACACTCCCAATAAAATACTCATTTATTCAAAAAAAAACCCCAAACGAAACAATCAACATTAAAGGTGAATGAAAACTCTCAAAGCAAATCACACAAAAATTCATCAAAATTTTCATCTAAAATCAATGAGTGAATCATTTATTAAACATTCACAGAATAATAATAATAATAATAATAATAATAACAGTGGTACCTAAAACTGGTCAATAAAAATTATCAAACCGAACGAAATGACTGACAATGAATCAATTCAATAAACATTCGTAGTAATATTATAACTTATATTTACAACCTTTTCAAAACCCCAAAACCAAAACGTTTGCACTATGAAAGTCATCTTCGCCTAGCAATCAACTTTTGCCGGATTTCCAAGTTAAGCCATATAGGTAGATAACAGACACACAAACTGAAGCATATTTTTACAATGACAAGAGAAAATCCCAAATTTGCTTCGTATTAGTGATGACATCCGAATTTCAGTTCGGTTGAAATCTGATCGAATATTTTAAAATTCCGAATGTCGGAATTCCGATCGAACTTCGGCGGGTTACCATCACTACTTCGTGTCACGAATTCCACGCAAATGTGTGCGTATTATCGGGTGTGTTTATCGCTGAATTGATTACATAAACAATAGTAGCGCAATAAAATAGCGAACTGTGAATTATAAACAACAAATATTCAACACAAACGACTGACAACTTATAGGATGACTACTTTCAAATGAATGAATAATTTTCCCTAAACAACACAATATTCTTTCCGTTTTATATCACAACCTCAAACACTTTTCATCAATACTACAAGTTAAAAACTGCAAACCAAAATTGAACTGCCATCATACAAAATCACGATAACAATGCGTTCCATTGCATATCACAAATCGAAACTGAAAAAAAAATAGACTGAATGGGGCAAAAAAGAATACAATACGTAAAATGTTTGTCTGTGTAGCCATAAATAAAACGAGATACGAGTAGACTCGAGATAGACGGATGGACGAATAGATAAATGCATATACAACTCAACTCAACAATACGAAACTTCATATAGACGAATTTTCATTGGAATAGACAATTTTCAAGATGATTACCGACGAAATAAATGATGAAATTGAAGAGAAACATGTCAAAAATAACAACGAAAACTTGATCAGAGACAATGAAGACGAGAGACTCAAAAGAAAAACAAATGGAAAATTTGAACAATGATTTTGAATAAACGAGATCGAAGAACATATATAAATTCTTTACGATTCTTCTTCATTCATCAATTCGTTACGCCATTATCGTTGTTGTTTGGAAGGAATCAGTTCATTTCGAAATTATAATTCCAATAAAATTTCGTGAACAATCTCAAAAGAAAATTTCGAAAACGATAGAAAAGAAATCACAAGAATGGTTACCAGATTATATACATGAAACTTCAATAAATTAATCGACAATTGAATACTTCATAATGAAAACATTCTTTCATAGCGAGTTGAAAAACGAATGGCATAACGATTAATTGGATAAAATAAATGAATTCAGCACAAAAAGGCACCAATCAAAATCTAACTGATAATCGGTATTAAACCAAACAGATCAGAACACATAATAGATGAATAACAGAACTAAACTGCAAGTCGAAACCTCAAAGTGTTGTCGGTAAAAGTTCCCTCCGAACACGCACCAAACCTATCATCACTCACCAATTCACGCCCTTCGAATCACCCTCCTTCTCCGAAATGAACTACCGCGAGAATTCGACGACAACGCACCATGTACATTCATTAAGTCGGCTAGCAACGTCCTGCAAATCCAATCATTCAACTGCGATGATCCCGAATCGTGTGCGTCCAAACGTTGCAATTCTTCAACTGGCCGACGTCTTTCTGCAGCAAAGGCAACAAATATACATCTTATCGCATAAATGAAAATGCGATCGATCGACCAACTTTTTGATCCTCACTCTCAATCACAATTGACAGTCGATCGCATCTATTAACTTTGGTCGACCGAAACTTATGAAGACATAAACAACTTTATAAAGACCGTAAAAACTGTTTCATATAAATTTGCTCAAAGATAAAGATGCACTCATTCAGTCAGATAGTACCTGGATTAGCGTCGAGAAGAAGTTTGATGATAACGTCCATAGAGTTGTCACGTATCGTCGACAAAACCACTCCACGGCACTAAGATAATCACTTTTTGATCGATTCACAACAAAGCATGGTTACTGACAAAAGAAGCTAACAAAAAAGTTTCAGACAAATGCAAAAAAATTTTGCAAGACCGTAAAGAATGCGTTATTAATACGTCAGAAAGATATCAAACGAAACTAATATCTTGAGAATGATATAAAAAACACAAACTCACAATAGGGCACGTCTTTGAAGCTTGCATCCATTCAGAAAGACATCCAGCACAGAACTTATGGCCACATGGATTGATTCTAAAATGAACAAACACATTTTTATGGTTATTAAACATAATCACATTTTCAAGCAACTTTGCTTAGTAAAAAGAGAAAATTTTGACTGACTGAGAAAAACAACAACTGTTCAAAGAAACGTGAGGTTTGAAAAAAACATTAGTGAATTTTGAAAATAAAAGAGCTGCAGTGAAAGAAGTATAACGAACACAACACAGCGATGCATGATATCTGTGCATATGGCACAAGAGACTGCTTCGAGCAAATCGCGATTCAGCGATGCCAGAACTTCGAATGTTGGACTGGCTGCAGTCGTCGACGTTGATGCATCGTTATTATTATTATTATTATTATTATCGTTATTTGCCTGAATGACTGCTCAATGTTCGCATATAAATTGCTAACGGTAAATGCCATTTCAATTCGTAAACATCTTAATCATTTAATAACTTCAGACAGATGAAAAACTTCAGACATAACAGAATGAAGACTGCAGAAGCTAACCGTGATGGCGGTATTATTAGCAGCTGATAACGCCAAACCAAGGACAATCGGATTTTGTGATGAACCCAGCTCAGCGGGTGGTTTCTGCATCACCACTTCGATCTCATTCTCCTCCATGATCGGTTCATTTACAGGTGTCGAAATCGACTCCTGAGCAACAATACAACCATATTCTATTGGTGTTTCTGCGTCACCATATTTTTGTCTTGAATTCGCCTTTGCATTCAAATAAAAACATTTGGAAATCGAAAGGTTTTTCCATGCAAACCACTAATACACGAAAAAAGCATTCCATTAATCGAGCCAAAGAAATTGCATGGAATTTGCTAAAGAATCAAGCGAGAAATATGAGCACACTAAAGAGAGAATAGTTTACTCTGCGATCGGCCTGGATGGAATTTGGGTGAGGTGAGCCCAATCGTGCTCGACGAAGTGAATGTGCGCCGCCAGTCGTCATTCGTGGTTGGCTTGGACGCGTGTTCCTTGTTCGTGTCGTTGATCTGAAAGAGAAACGCAATAATCACTTGGATGAAAGCAAACAACTGATACGCATAATCAACTGTGCACAGCAAAATATGTACATCTCACAACACTTCGTTAAAAACTTTCACGGTGACCTCCTGATAAAGAAGCACATTCGCAATGATAAAGAAAAACTATTGGTTATATGATGGATCCGTCCCATCCTCTAATAAAATATTTCACAATATTTTATAATCAATAAAGGAACTAGATGATTTTCAGAGGATCCAGATGGCTCAGCAGTTTGGATACGATAACTCAGCCCAACATATGATAAATACACTCCAAAATCAACTCAAATCTCAACCTTCTCCCTTGATTGTGAGCTTGTTGTCGTGTTGTTGGTGCCATCAAGTATGGATCGATCTGGCCTAGACCAATTACTCTTCACTATATTCCTGTAAAATGCCTTTAAAATGAACCTCAATGTACAACGACTGGCATCGCAATTTCAACACTCTAAATTGCGCTACTTACAAGATCATACGCTAATTTTGCTGATAACGGGCGCCACTGCTCCATCACAGATGCTCGTGTACTCATACGCTTCACACATAAGTCAAAGCCTAAGCGTTAGCCTCATCACTGGGCTAAGCGTAAGTCTAAGCTTAAGTGTACTCCTGATTTGACTTCGAACTGCTTAGATACACATGGGGCAAAGCGGTAATCTAAGAACATTCGCGCAATGGCGCTCGGTATCAGCAAAAGTGCCAACCATACAATCAATCGACAACAACTTCTAACGGAAAATCACTAATTTGCAACGGTGTTAATTTTAGCACATTGTTAAGGAATCTTTAACAAAAAAAGTGACCACGCGAAGTGGACAAAATCCGCATAAAATCGCCCGGTTAGAAAATCATATCGTTGTTTCGCAGCAAGCGAGACTTCACGTCGCCAATTTTTTTCTCTCATCAACAATTTTCTTTCATCACCACGCTCCCTTCCCAGTCTCATCACTACACTTCAAAAAAAAAACAGTCTATGGAATCCATTAACCAGTCACTATGGAATTAATTTAACCGACAATGAATCATTTGACAGTAATTCAGTCAGCCAAAAGAGAAATAGGTTTATTTGATATGAGCACTGAATAAGATCATGAACAAAAGCGCCGAGTATTGTAAACATTCTTGTTGGAGAGATCAACAACTGATATGGTATCAGTGTATGCGTACACGAATAATCTCATCCGAAACATTGATACGATAAAATCATTACTATTAATACAAGTGCACCTTTGAAAATTAAAAAAAAAACAGTTCAAAAAATTCTTTCACGAACGTGAGCATATCTGCAGAGAGTGTGAACTGTTCAAGGAAATAATCTTATGATTTTAGAATAACATTTCATAAGATCATTTTTAATAAGACACATTAAGCACACCAATGAACTGGATAAAGTGATCAAAAAAGACCTCATAATGATCACCGAGGTAATCGTTTTGTTTCATGAATTCATAAATTTCATCAAAACGATTGGTCACAAGTTATGACTGATAAAATGAGCATATACATACATATTTCAATGAGGTGAGAACATTTTCTTTAACAAACCAAGCATTCAACATCAATGGCAAATTTATAAACGAATCTGATACAGATTCGCGAAGAATGCTACAGTCATAATAATAAACCATTTACAAATTCAATCGGAAAAGACTTCATGGAATGATATGGATCTCTGAAAATTTTATACAAATAGCAACATTTTTAATCACTGATCTTCGTCTTCATTCGGCTTACTGCGTTTCGCTTGCGTAAAATATTCACTGATACCACCCTTATTTTCATTACCAACTTTCTTTTCGACTTTACCAACGTCCTGAATTTCAGAATGAATGATTAATGAATATACACATCACCGCTATCTGGTAAATGAACGTAAAAATGCGATCACCTTGTATGAATCCGACGAGAGATCACACGAGCTGAGCACGTCGAGTTTCTTTTGTATCAATGGCCACATAACATCATCCGCCGTATTCTTCGCCAATAAGTACTGGATGAAGACTGAATCCTTTTGACCGACTCGATGCGCTCGATCTTCTGCTTGGTTCAATGTCTGCAAACAGATAGCAATAAAATACTCAAACGACAACAAAGCGAATCTCGAATCACTGAATGAAATACCCCAGGATTCCAGTGTAACTCAGCGAATACCACAACTGTGGCAGCTGTGAGCGTGATACCAACGCCTGCTGCAGTCATCGACAAGACTGCAACGACCACATTATCGTCCTCTTGGAATAGACGACACTGCTCTTCTCGCGATTTCGATGATGTTGTACCATCAATACGAATCGATTTTAATCCCTTCAACATTTATTTCCACAATTTAAAACATTTGTTGAAGATTGCACTGAAGATCATATATCATTAAAATGAATACAAGTAATGGTAATTATATTATAACTCAGCTAATATTATACACCACTACACTTGTCTAATAAAATATTTAAAATTTAAAAAAATAGAATGACAACGAACTACCGTGCAGCCGTTGGCAATTCTATTTTGAAGAATGCATGTGCTGCACAATTCGTGATTCATTAGAATGCATTCAACTAATGTCAATATCGATGGTAACAATAATGATACATAGCAAGTGTCAATAACGGTAAGGAAACGATAACCTTTTTGGTGACATTCATCGAGATCGTATCAAGAACCACTTGGTGATGTGCAAATATGAGAACTTTTCGATCGCAAGAATCGTTGCAAAAATATGTATTGATAATATAATCAGATACAGTTTTTGCTTTCGCGATGCCCGTCTCATAGTAATATTCCACGAGACACTGATGCTTCGAATCTTTATCCTTTGCACCGTTGTATGCATTCTTTGCTGAGCGCAGTTTTGACATATTCTCATTTACCGCCACGTCATTCAAGTAGACCACTTCACGACGTTTTTCTGGTAGATCACGTGCCACGTCCTGTTTCAGTCGTCTCAGCATGATCGTATTCGATAGTATCCATGCCAATTCACTGCTATTCGAACAACCTTTCGCTTCGAATCCATATACGCCTTGCTTGCCATCACAATATCGGATCGCGAAATCACGAAAATTTGGAAATATCTTCTGATCGATCACTCGGATTTGTGAATATAATTCGACGGGTCTTGAGAGTGCCGGTGTACCACTCAACAGAATCACTCGACATGCTTTCCTCTGTAAAGTGACACATTTTGAAAGATTATCCGACAATCGCATAATTATCCCATCTTTCGCACAATCAAATCAGATAATTTTAACGGTCTCGATTTGAAGCATTTCTGCTATCAAACGAATGAAATTATTTGAAAAGTTAAATAATTCGAAACGACAGTTTATAAAACGATATCAACAAACCGAGATGTTAAATGCAGCTTTCGTTCGTTGTGCTTGTGCGTCTTTGATCAAATGTGATTCATCGAAAATAACTGCAGTGAACGCAAACTCTTGAAGTGATCGTTGCATATTCACCATCAGATCATAGCTCATAATGACGACTGTTTTATGCGATCTTTCAGAGGGCAATTTATCACTACCTTTCTCGATCACTCGAATATTTGTTACGGATGGTAAGAATCGTTCAATTTGACTCATCCAAACTGATTTAACTGATGACGGACAGACGATCAACAACGGCCAGTCAGCTTTAAAGTATCGCATAATGCCTAACGCTTGAATCGTTTTCCCCAAACCCATCTCGTCTGCAATCAACAAACGACCACGACGCGAAATACCGAAACTGAAACGGAGAATCCTTAAACGAAACAACGAACGAATGATTCAAACTAAATTCAATTTTTAAATAGTGAATCTGAACCGATCAACTTTTGCATTCACTTACCACACTCCCTTTCGTTGATATGGAAAAAGTGCATCCAAAATCGTTTGATCAACAAAACCGTTCAGTTTTTGCTCGGTGACTTCATTCCTACCGTGAGATGCATTACGGAGTATCTGCAATTTACATTATTCATACTTCCGGATTATATTTCAATAGTGCTTATAGTTGATTTCTTCAACATTTGCAAATAATAAAACCAAAAATGATTGAAATTCAAATACATCATCTCAGTGTCTTCATTAATCAACAATTACTTTCCCTAATTGGTGATAGTTCATTGATTCTGTGAATAATTAATAATAGATGATAAGTCCCTTCTTTTTTTTAATTAAAGCACTACTGAAGGCAAAGGCACTAACTTTGACAACATTGTCAGGAAGTTTTTGTAGTGTTATTGAGAGCGCATTTCTAAGAGAAAGTAATTTGGTTTCAACGGCATCGTAATCGTCCATAGAAAAAGTCCACTGTCTCGTATCTGGATTGTAGGACTTCGAAGGAATCTGTTTCAGCACAGATGGTAGGAGCTGATCGAACGGTGTAAATGCCACCTGAAATACCATATAATACAAGGTTCGAATAAATCCTAACTGATCAACTTCTTGTTCCTCCTATGTATGAATTAATCTTATTTTTAGGCATAAAAATTCTTAAAATGAATCTAATAATTGAAATCGTTTCATATTCAATCTGAAACATTCATAGCTATGAGAGTTCATGCGTAAGGTTGTTTTGGATCATGTGCGTATCACCATTTTCGAAAATATCGATAGATAAATCAATAGAAGCACATTGAATTTCTACTAAAAACGAGCTAATGCACGATTCAAAGAATCAGAAAATGAATGAACAAATGAAACAAAAAAACAACGTACTGCAAAACGACGACTATCCACAACACTGTACGTCACATCAATCTGTTTTTTGTGCGGCATACAAATTGTTGGATCCACATGATTTAAGACAACTCCACCTAATGGTACACTATTATTCGTGGAATTAATTCTTCCGGCTGGCTGACCTGCTGATGAAGAAAACGGATCCCTCTCGAAAACAATTTCGACTAGTTTTTGATGAAAATTATCCTTCCCAGCATTCTCGCTTGATGAAGACGGCGTATTGCTCGAATGAAACAACGTCGGAGGTCGCCGCTGATTCACTGCTCCTTGAAATGCATCGATCTTGGAAATATCTTTTGGTGCTGATGAAGCCGAAGGATTTTCTTTGTTGAATGAGAAGGCATTCGGGTAGTTGGACGATGAATTCTGAACAACACTTTGCATCTGTGCTTTTGACTTTGCTAGACTGAGTGCTCTGCGACGATCAGCTTCTGCCTTATTCCGGGCTATTCGAGCCATCTGCTCTGCTGTCAGTGAAGTGGTCATCGCTCCAGCTTGGTCACTTTTCAAGCTGAAGATCAGCCTTTATTACTTACACACAAAACTACACACAAACAAATCAACGCAATCGGTACATGAGATTAGAGACTAGGGATATACTGAACTTGAGAATGGTAGTGAAATCGAATACATACACAAAAAAGAAGACATGACCTGAAGACCTGATGGACTAAAAATGATCGACAAAAACGTGACAAATCCTTGAAAAGCGTTAAAAAAACTCCTGCATCGTGAATACATCTCGCCGAATAAGCGTCTCATTAATAAGAAGACAAACCTTGAAAAAATTAAAGCGATTCATGGAGAATCTCACTGATATCTCACGATTATCCGTGACATTTGCACAACAAGTAACATTAATATCTCGTTTCACCGCGCTTTGCCAAACGGCTTATTACGATTCATTTGCATTGGAAAGTTTGTTGCACTCAAATTGAAAGGTTGAGGATCGAATGGATTACAGTTTGCACAGAGAATTATGAATGAGAGTGAATCAGTGATATGGCTGAAGTGAATGAGAAAAGAGGCATGATGTAATGATAAACTGATGAAAAGGAACGAGAGCGGTAAGACATCATGGAAATTAAACATGAAAATCGTTTATAGACTGTGGGAGGAGAGTTGTATACGGGAGCATGAAAAGCGTGTATGCCTTCTGAATACGTCCTTCTACTAGAAGCTACTCTCCTATACTCTATCAACTCCACACATTCTATTCACAGTTTTCATTCCCGATTACAGTGATGTCTCATCACTCTCGTACCTTGCTTGACTGATAACATTACAATTCCATTATGGCATGATACTTTTCTCATTCACTTCAGACGTATCAATGATTCGCTCTCATTCATAATTCTCTCCAAATTCTTAATTCTGTCCATTTCATCACATCGCACTTTCAGCGCAATTTGATTTCAACTACTGAAAACGATTCGCCACAACAAATAAAACGATTCGCCACAACAAATAAAACAGATCCGACATAATCGTGAGGTCTCGCACAGTACGAATCTCTCGATTCTCAATGAAGTAAGCAGTGCACCTTAATTAAGAAAAGATTAGAGGGAAGGGAAAAGCAGATTCTATCATAGACATATCAGTGCTATTATACAGAATGCATTCTTGCTAGAATGATCTTTCAGTAAAAACCAACGTGAATAAATTTCTTCAAAGCAATATAAACCTCGCTAATTATGTGCTTGTCACAACCAGTTCTTCGAGATTTATGAAGCAGTACTTCTTTCAAGCGAATTATTGTAAATTTTCTCTCACAATCATTAGAAATTCGAGAATTCCAAACCCTGCAGTTTTCAGAATGTCGTAATTCTTGGTACATCGAGCTCAGAGATGAACCGTTTATAACTTTGATTCTATCACGAAAGCTTTCCACAAATATGCATAACATATTATTGAAATATCTCCTCACCATCGATGATTAGTAAAAATTGAAATTTGTTTATAGTCGAACTGAACGTTTATGGATGAGTTATGGTTACATCGAAAGTTTCTTCACAGATCATTTCAATGAAATAATTCTCATCGACCTAGTTCGAATCCACATCAAGATAAAATTTTCTAATTTCCTCGATGAACAAACAAAAACAGCAACGATGAACAAACACTTCATTTGCAGATCGCAAATAGTCTCGGATCCGACGATAAATGATAAAAACATTATCAAACCTCAATCAGGAGATAGTTTACTTCAAACCGGGCACAAATAAGCTAGAGCAACAATGCCTGGTATGAACATATTATGAAAGTTTTTCCTTCTTCCTTATAAACTCATCAAGTGCTCACCAAAATGGACACTAAACAAATTGTGTTCATGACAGTTGTTATCTGATATCTCCAAAACGACATCAAAAGTGTATCATGATGAATGCACTTCTTATTCCATCAAGGAACGCAATATGGAAGTATCTACCAATAATGTGTCACGTTACCGAAACATCCAAACTGAACTGCCTGTCTGTATGAAATTTTGTAAGTCCAGCTAAATCTCGTAGAACGTTTATAATCCTTCGACAACATGTACACGTTTCTTATCGGGTAGGATGTCGACTAATCGATGATACAGTAAAAAATGCAGATGCTTAGCAAAACTGAGCACATGGGTCGTATGGAAACGCTACTGCTCCATTCACACACTGAGGCAGTGCTAACCAACATCATAATATTAAGGATTTCAAACATGAAAGCATTGCATATGTTAATTCAGTCGACCCGCCACCTCACAATTGGACCTTGTCACGAGCAAACAGTTCTTACTTTCATCACATAGAATATGAATTCATTTTCACTAAAAGTATGCACCTTGACATATGAAAGTTTCAGATTCGTCCGTTTTCATAAATCCCATCTTGATGAAATGTGCAACGGTCATGGGTTAACACACATCATTTTCAAGTAAAATTTATCCTCATACGCATCAGTTTCATTGTATATCTTATAAGACATGACCATTAATCCATAAAGAGTATAGTTGTCGGACGGTAATTTCAATTTCTCGAGATTCACCATCCCATGCAAATTGCATCTTGAATTATGCTATCGCATTGTTGTCACTAGTGGATATCAGAAAGGTCATGCTCAAGAGATCTGTATCTTCAGATCTCATCAATATAATGATAATTAAATCTCATCATATTGCAGAACATGGTTTACATGAATGAATTAGAACACGAAATGTTATATGGCATTTAAAAAATACAATTCGTAATAAATTTTAAGGAAACTTTGATTTCCTCAGGTCTGCCCAGTAACATGTCAATTTCTTCACATCGTCGCATTCTTCAGATCCTCTAGATCCACAAAAAAATGTATATTGTCGGGCGATTTGAGGAGATATGGCTGATTTTTAGAACAAATCTGACATAGCTGAGCGCTGATCGTTTCAATACATTGTATCACTATTGATCAATCTGTGCATTACTACAGCAACATCAGGGTCACCATCTTCAAGCTAACGGTACTCTCAGGTATTCTCAGTAACACAGCAATTTCTCCATGCCATTCGATTCCAGTGAATCTCTAGATTCAGGAAAACATATATGTTGTCGGGTTTGATGCAAAAATTTCATTCTCTATTCAGCATCTCATAGAAATCCTCACCATTAGTATAATCGGGAAATTTATGAACACACGGGCGTAGTCCAGATGATCTTTCTTTAATTTGCAGACACGGATAAAGCTTACTATTTGTGATCTGACACTTACAACATTAGATTGAATTAAATAATAAATCAGCACTGAACACTTCCCGTTACTTAAACAGATGAATGCGACTTTTCAGCTTTTGTTCCGGTCTGATTTCATGGCTGCCGGTTAGTTAACCTCCTAAAACAGTTTCGGTAACAATGATAATGATATCAACTGCCCATGATCATTATCAACACTTTCGATCTATAAACAGCATCAACCCACAGAGGTACATCAACTAATTAACTTAAAGTCACAGTCCTATTGCTTCACAACGAACTCGTATTAATAACGTCAACAATGCAGCTATCATATCATGAAGTCATATTAAGAGAACCTGAAGTAGATCTATAAAAAAAAGAATTCATTACTGAACGAATTGCTGATGAAATTAGTGCATGAAGAAGGAAATTGCAGAAGAAACAGTTTCAGTATATAATTTCATTAGTGAATGAGTATTGCACATAAACTTATACACCGAGAATGCTTGGGCGATGAATTAATGTTTTTGTGCTGAAAAATTAAATGATTAATCTTTCAAATTTTCATTTTTCATGTTACACAACATACAACTTCTCGTTAAGTACGCGAATGGCTAACTACCGCAATTTGCGGGCGTGGCTAATTACCGTAGTCATTCAGCCTCGAACGTACTAATCTAGTTGACTGCATTAACAGTGGGTGTGGCTAGTTACCGTAGCTCCTGCTAGCTACTGGCTAGCAACGTTGATGAAGCATTCTAGGAATGTTTAGCCGTGCCCGCAATAAAAGCAAACTATGGGAGTAGTACGTCCGGGGTTAAATATCTTCAGTAACTAGTCACAACCACAGTTAATGCATCTAACGGGATTGGTACCCCTGAAGCTGAGTGACTACGGTGAGCAGCCAAGCCCACAGTTAATGCAACCAATGCGAGCAGTGCCTCCGGTGTTAAATGACTGCATCAAACTGTCCACTGCTAGTATCAGCTTGTAATAGTAAATAGTCAACGTAATTCTCACCAATCTCAAATCTAATCGGTTCATATCTATGAAAACAACCTCCTTTTGAATAAAACTTCACCATTTCAGAGTCCAGCGTTCTTGTATGGCCATGTTCACGAATTACCTCACTCAGCTTTCATTTCATAGAGAGAAGTATGAACATTTATTATAAAATCAGAAGCGCTGTACAGATACTGTGCAAGACTTTGACACGAATTCTCATCACGGCGTCCGAGTAGAAATGCCGAAGGTTTTTTCGATGACACATCTTCTATACAAATAAAAAAATCGAGCAACAGTCAGAGGCGGCAGCTTTTTCAGTGTACATCACAAATTATCAAACACTGACGTTCATTCAAGCTTACTGACCTCAACGTGGGATTTGCTCTAACATGCATTAAACATAATACTATAAATGCTCTTTTCGTTGTTGCTTCTCCATTCCTATTCTATGCTAAACGACATTTGAAGAATGCTTTCTCATAAACCCTGTTTCCTTTCAAGCGAATCCACCATCCTAATCGAGTGCCATACCACCACGCTTTTCGAAACAATCGAAATGATTGCTCCAGACTTGTTTCACTAAGCCCTAAGATATGTGTGACGATCCTCTCATGAAAACTTCCTGAATCTATGATTAGACATATTTTGCTTCATCTCTAACAGTGTGTTGCACTAGTATATCTTCAAAATTGTTTCTCAAATCGATAATTCGAAAACCTTTCCAGTTTGAGGTTTCTCTTTCCTAACTACGATGCAAATAATCGTGGTATAATCACAACCTATACACCAGTTGAATTCCTATAAACTTACTGGCACTAAACTACGATAGCTGCCGTCATGGCAATTAAAAACTCATTAAAACTGAAGATACCGATAGCTTGTGGATTTTCGGTGCAATGTGAGGTAACACGTGGAAAAACATTTATGCAGCTGTCACGCCACGCACCATTGATATTTTCAAAC